TTTATTTTATCTAAACTTCATAGCGGAGCGGGGAAGCGGGGCGCAGCCCGCATTCTACCTTTGCATCTATACATACATACATAACAGTATTCAATTAATCTCTATATCTACATAATTACATACAAAATCTTATTCTGAGTTTTCCCCCATTTATTATGGACGGACAGAGAATGCTTGTAATAGCGCACATATATTATGCCCTAAAAATATCTCACGCAGTTTTCAAGTCTACTTGAGACTGACCGCCCTGGGCAGCGAGGTCAGCAGGACATTACTCTCTCCAGTAGGTCGGACTGACAATTTGTTTGAATTGATAACAACGGAAGATATTCTCACGCAGTATATTATTCGTCGCTGGAAATGGTTTTATGTAGACATTGAAGAGGATGCCAATGGACTGTGACAGGCTGTTGATGTTTTGTCTAATGGCTGAGAAATTAATCACACAAATATTATAAATGTGAATGTTTCTTTGTTTTGATGTTTGTCCGTCAATCACGTTGAAACTACTGAATGCATTTTGATGAAATTTGGTATACAGCTAGGGTATGGGTTGACATAGGTGATAAGATACTTTTTATCCCAATTAAATGCTCCCATGGGATCAAACAGAACTCATATTCTACGCGGACGAAGTCGCGGGCAACAGGTAGTCTAAAATATGCAGAAAAATCTATTTATGATATTAGTTGTATGCAGTTATTGTGAAAAATCAACACTTAAATCGATATAATTACAGCAGAAATTAATAACCTTTTTATTTTTGTCAAAAATCAATCTTGATGAGAATGAGATTGAATGTCGTGGTGGTCCCGAGGTTTATAACGACCGCTTCTTAAGCATGAGAGCGCGGGTTCAAAACCTAACAAAGGCAAGTTGATAGGTTTTGAACCCTTTAATCAAATTTTCTCCGTGCGAGAAGAGGCCTTTGGTCAGCAGTAGCCACTTATAGGCGGTTGATGATGATTGTGGATTGAAATAGGTGATTATTTTCAGCCGCTAGTGAGTTGGGTTTAAGGTCTGTGATGAGGGAAATCTACATTATATTAGTAGGTCGTACGTAACACGAAGGTATGAATGTTCTTCATTCAGTAGTCATTCAGCTCGAGATAAAAACACTCATTGTTCAAAAAGTTTCCCCTCGCCCTTGACCCGACTACAATTATAAGCGCCAAGACAATTAAAGATAAAGTTCTATTTAATTAATAATATTTATTTATACTACATAATTAGTAATTAGGTATATTTATTCTTTGTGACGTAACGTCAACTAAAATGTCTCGGGTTCACGTGAAAGATAAAATATAATTTAATAGTCATACAGTTCATACCTACCTACACTAATTATAGTACAATAGCCTGCCTTGTCATGAAATTTATTTGACCTTTGATAATATTTTAAGATCGTATCGGTCAAAGATATTATACACATAATAAAATTGCGACAGGCCGATGTTTGTACATACACAAATGACAGAACACCAGGCTCCATATCTTGTGTACTTGCATGCTTTAATACTTACATAATTATAACTAGCTATTTCCGCACGGTTTCACACGTTCTGCTCAGCTCCTATTGGTCGTAGCGTGATGTTTTATAGCCCATAGCCATCCTCGATAAATGCACTATCCAAGACAAAAAGAATTATTCAAATCAGACTTGTAGTTATGGAGATTAGCGCGTTCAAACAAACAAACAAATAAACTCTTCTGCTTTATATAATAGTATAGTAAAAAGTATAGTATAAGATATAAGATAAAACTGAAAAGTTTCATTGTTTGCTTGTTTGCATGTAGAAGTTATCTCCTCTGGAAATTGCAAGTTCTATTGTTATAACAGGGACTTTCCTTTGGCATTAGTCAGGAATGTCGGTTTATTTTGATGAAGACCATAGTACCATCACTTATTTTTGGTACGACGACATCTAGTAACGGCTTGGTTGGTTACTCTATAAATTGACCGATTGAAAAAGAGTACCAACCAAGGAGATTTTTTGCTCGTTCTTCTCCTGACTTTTGCATAATTATGATAATCTTTTTTTAACAGTATATAATCATCCAATGGCTCCTCCCTCCAGTGGGTGGGTGAGGCACGACAAAGTGTCAGACCCTTACTGCCTGAAAACTACCCTCTTTGTCTTTTTTTTTTGTTGACGGGATGAAAAAATGGGTAAAAAGACTAGGGAGTATGGGATTTTTACCTCACGAAAACCTCCCCGGTGGCCACCATTCGCACTTGAAGGAGACCGGGTCCTCTTAGTAGACCAACTCCGGAGCCCCCTCAGTGCAACGCCTGTTACGGCACCTCCCTATGGAGACCTATGTGTCTCTCCTAGAGCCTCTCTGTGCACTGCACGGCGGCACGTGACCACTGTGCCACCGTCATCCTTGAGGTCATTTGGTGACCCCTTTGTACTTACTGACAATCGCCCGCAGTTCTGGATTGTATAAGATAATCTACGCTTATATTCTAATCTAGCTTTTATCTGCAACTTTGACCTCGGTAATAAGAAAAAGGTATCTAGTCAAGCTATTCCCCCTCCTCCGTAGCCTCCTTTTTTTTTTTTTTTAAGGGGGGAAAATCATCGAATGACTGCTCCCGCCTGGGTGAGGCGGAAGGGAGTGTCAGACTCTTACTGACTAAAAACCACCCCGTTCCTTCTCCTGCACGTCGAGCCGGAGCCCCGGTTACCCGTTAGGTTCTCCGCGACTCTTTGAGGCGCGCGCGGTACGCGACGCGCCGTACGCTCGGGTCTGTTTCTGGTCGGACGGGGAGCCACCCATGCTCGCCGTCCGCAGGCCCGCGCTTACGGTGGCCGGAGATCGTCCCGCGATCCCCGACGCCCGGTGTGTACTTCGCGATGGCTTTTTTTTTTTTTTTTTTTTTTGAGGGGGAAAATCATCCAATGACTTCTCCCGCCTGGGTGAGGCGGGAGGGAGTGTCAGACTCTTACTGACTAAAAACCACCCCGGTCCTTCGCGATGGCTGGGTTGCGAGGAGGCAGCGCTTCGCTGCCTCACGCGTCCCGCCTCCTCCTTAGCTAGCATGACTGCTTCGCAAAAGGAGGAGACGGCATCCCAGTCCCCCTCACTCCGCATCATGGCCTGCACTAGGCCCGGACGCGAGAGGTCGCCATCGCCGATCACTTCCCTGAGGGCACGGCGGTGCTCAGCCCACGCAGGGCATTCCGCTACGGTGTGTTCCACCGTGTCCTCAGGGTGGTCCTCGCAGTGATGACACCCGGGCGTTTCCTCCCGCCCCATCAGACACAGGTACCTCCCGAAACTTCCATGTCCGGTGAGGACCTGCGTCAGGCGGTAGGTGAGGACGCCGTAGCGTCTCTCAAGCCACTCCTCAAAGAGGGGTCTTACCGCTGCAATGGCAGCGAGCCCATCCGTAGCCTCCTAGTTCTCCTACCTATATGAAAAACTCCATAAATAATTGAGTAGATAAATCGTAGCAGTAACAAACGAACTTACTTTCGCCTTATATTATTAGTTAAGTTTCCACGTGTGGTCTCGGGGAAAAATTTAATTTCTTATCATATCTAATGAAAACATCATTGTACGATAGTTTTATTTATAAGTTTATTACTACGCACTAAATATAGATAATTTATTGTAAAACAAACTGTTGTTAGTTCGTTTATCTCGCAAATAGTTGTGTTGAATGCCACAAAGGGATTGATAACAGTTATCTACAGAACTAATATCGTTTGATGGTCATTTGTTTATAACAGTGAATCCCCATTTAAATTAGATTAAGTATTAGGCTTGCCATATACCTCTGTGTAAAGCAGTCAGGATCGACTACTTCAAGCCATAAAAAGTTGGCGAAAAATAAGTTTGAATTATGGAGGTCGCTATAGTATGGCATCTGTGGCAACTTGGTACGCTACACTACGACTCAATAGTATTCCATATTCGCTATTTTTATCGAGTTCAAAAAGAGGAGGTACCATAGATACAATATATTTCTGTGGGAGCTACTTACTATTTTCGGATGATTGTTTATTCTTAGGACCCCTTACCCCACCCCACACTTCGGACCATAGTCCGAAAAGTAGGTGATTCAGTCCAAATCAATATCAGTTCCATGCAGCTCTCACACAAAGTCTTTTTTGCCAAGCGGAACAGACTTCTATGTGCGTTACATACTCGAACTGCTCGAGCAGTTGTGACTACTTCGGGAGGTTGACATTTCATCAAACGGTCAAGCAGTCGTAGGTACCTATGTCTATCACTGGGTAACTGCTCTAACAGTCCGTGTGTGCAAGCCCTTAGGTAACGTATATCTAATGACTATTTATTTATCTAAGTTAATATTGATATGAGTATTTGGGAAATTTTGTGATAAATACGTACTTAAACTTTATGGTGATGATAAGAAAGTAGGTACAATTTGTGGCGTAGTAGGTATTTAATAGGAATGATGACAAGACATGAAAATGAAAGCATTTATTTGATTTGTTTGTCGGTTAGATAAAAAGTATAAAACGTCCATGTTTTGTTTTATTAAAATAAGAAAACAACTGCTGAGATAAAACGCATTAAAGTTTAGAAAATATGGGGCTAACTACGTCACTTCTATGTTTGTAAAAGTGACGTCATATTATTACTAACTGCATTACTAATTGTTCTAAGTTTCTTACTTCCTCCAAAGCTGTCTTATATTTTTTATACTAGGTGACTTGTCTCAGTCAAGTATCTCACCTTGTCGCGGAGAACCTAAAGGGTAACTGGGGCTCCGGCTCGACGTGCAGGAGAAGGAACGGGGTGGTTTTTAGTCAGTAAGAGTCTGACACTCCCTTCCGCCTCACCCAGGCGGGAGCAGTCATTCGATGATTTTCCCCCCTTAAAAAAAAAAGTATCTCACCTTTCTCCTCAATAGTAAAAATCTAATTTCATGCCATCAAAGCCAAGACTCCTTGCAGGCATTCGACAAAGTAAACAGTTTTACGTCACAAGTGACGAGTAATAACTATGCTGTAAAATTCCAGGTGGTGTACTTGGTCAACAGTGGGACGGAGGCCAATGACCTCGCGACCTTACTGGCGAAGGCTTACACAGGCAACTTGGACGTAGTGTCCCTGCAGAGCAGCTACCATGGATACTCGTCCGCCCTGATGGGACTCACCGCCACCCAGTCTTATAGGATGAAGTTACCTGTACCTCCTGGGTTTTACCATGTAAGTTACATTTTTTTTATGTGACAGGGTGACAAACGACCCGACATATAACAACTTAACACCTAAACAATATTATCTGATGGTAAGCAATCGTTGCCGTCTATGAACACCTAGAGTAGCTATCTCCACTCCACTAGAACATCATTCACTTAGTGAATCTAATAAGTTTTATTAAAGTCAAAGTCAAAATAATTTATTTCAATTAGACTAGGAAGGTACTATTGAACGTCACCAAAAATTTTTTAAAAGAAGCTATTTGCTCATTTCAATGTGTAGATTCCTACGGAGAAGAACGAGCAAGAAACTCCATACTTTACTCTTATTTAATCAGGTTTACAATACAAGTCTCTAGTTACGTACCTATTCTGTTTAATTCGGTTTTGTGAGAACAATGTACTTAACACCAAAATCCAGATAAAGAGATCAAAAAAGAAAATAACCTTTAGACAATTAGACAATTAATAATCTAGTCTGGAGCTGACCTAATACAATACAGTACAGATTTTGAGCTGAAAATTAATCTTAGCAAGTTTTTCAATAGGAATGTACATTTCTTTATACAGACACGAGAATATTTTGTTTGTATATTTTTATTCTACGTTTTCAGACAATGTTACCGGACCCCTTCAGGGGTATTTGGGGTGGGTGTCGTGACTCGGTGTCCCAGGTGCCTGGCGCTTGTTCCTGCCCAGGTGATTGCGTCACCGCAGACAAATATGTTCACCAGCTCAGTGAGGTAAACTGCTCTTTTTGGTTTTTTATTTTAGCAAAAGCAAAGGGTCAATGACTGAGACGACTGGTACGACTGGTCAGTCACAATAAATATTAAACAAACAAACACAAGGTAAACAACTATACCTTTTTAATTACTTTCAATACTTATTAATTAAACATGTTTTAATAAGGCTTTGTCCAACAGCTTCTAGAAAATTCGATACCGAAGGGACGATTGGCAGCTTTGTTTGCGGAGTCCATTCAGGGAGTCAATGGCACGGTGCAGTTCCCGAAAGGATATTTGAAAAAAGCACAACAACTCGTCAAGAAGTATGGAGGACTGTATGTAGCTGATGAAGTGAGTACATGGTATCATTTCTATGGCCTTTAAATCAAATCAAATCATGTTTATTTGCTCAAACACATGTGTACATACAATAAACAATAGCATGTAAGATAGCGGGTAGCAGTGGAAAAAGTTCGAGACATGTTTGCCGTATACAATGGCGTGCAAATATACCTCTAGTAGTCACTCATAGTGATTGCGAACTAAACAGCGCCTAGCGTTTTGAAGAGAACAACTAGGGAGTATGCGTTTCTTACCTCCCTGAAACTACTCCAACATCATCAGAACCTACAAATGAGCACCGGGTCCTCTAAAATGGGACTTCTCATGCCTTGGGTAGGTGAGAGGAAGTGTCAGACTATTCCTAACTAAAAAAATCGTCATCATCCGCGACCCAAATAGACAAACTCTAGGAGATCCCACTGGTCTGTTACGTTGCTACATCCTTAGTGATACCACGTCTAAATATTCTATATACCTGCGACTTCGTAAATAGGTACTTACCTACATTTAAAAATATTTTTCCGACCTAGAACATTTTTATGATAGGTAATTTTCTCATTTTTTTTCCAGGTACAAACAGGCTTTGGACGGACGGGAGACAAGTTCTGGGGTTTTGAGAACCACGACGTAATCCCAGATATTGTGACTATGGCCAAGGGTATTGGCAATGGTTTCCCCATGGCTGCCGTGGTAACCACAAAGGAGATTGCAGCCGCCCACGCCAGTACCACATATTTCAACACGTTCGGCGGGAACCCCATGGCTTCAGCTGTCGGCAAAGCGGTTTTGGATGTAAGTCTATGTTTTTTATAGATTCCTCTGCAGGTGAAGTATTGAGGCTGAACTATCGGCTATTTTTGCGATAAAGAAACATCAAAGAAAAAGGATTTTCTACGGCTAGTTATCTTTAGGCAAAGGGGCAGTCTAAGCACTATTTATCTAATAGGTATATAAAATTCTCGTGTCACAGTTTTCGTTGCCATAGGTACTCCTCCGAAACGGCTTGATGAAATTTTTTGTGCTTATCCGGTATCTATGAGAATCGGCCAACATCTATTTTTTATCCCCCTAAATGTTAGGGGTAGTCCACCCCTAATTTTCATTTTTATTTTTTAGGCAAAATTTTTATTTTTTATTTTTTTTTGATACAACATACAAAAATACATACAATCCTCAATTTTCACCCTTCTACGATCAACCCTTATTTTTTTATAGCAATTTTAGTAATTATTTATATGGCAAAACAACGTTTGTCGGGTCAGCTAGTTTAAAATAAATCTTTCACCCAATTACTTTGCCAGTATACTACTTAGGCTACAGTAACCACTTACCATCAAGTCTCAGGTGGCTTGTACATCTTGATAATATTGGTAGTTTATTTTCTAGTACCTAGGTATTTATTATATCTTCGGGAATTAAAAACAAGATGTTGTTATGCTATTACAAATCAGATTATAGTTATCAAGCTTGGTACTTACAACAGTTAAAAGTCATGCCCTCTTGATGCAACTCTGTATCGAGACCAAGGCGCGATTAGTAAGATCGATTTCGATTTCGTAATAATTTTCACAAACATTACAATGTTGCGGTTCTTATTTCCCAGTGGGACAGTGGGCAGAGTAATCTAGGTGCATCTTCATATAATTATTATTATGGGAAATCACACCTTATAATTTGAAACCAGAATTCAAGAACACTATCCAACCTAAATAACCCCTTCTTTGGCAATCGCAGTATACGACTTACAAACATTCAACAAAGTACCAAGCAGACATTTATAAACTGAAAAAATGCTATTACTATTTACAGGTGATCGAGGAAGAAGGATTGCAGAACAATTGCAAAGTTGTAGGAAAATATTTCATCGAACAACTGATGCAGTTGCAAAAAGTATATCCGATCGTTGGAGATGTGCGCGGAAAGGGATTGATGTTAGGAATAGAGTTCGTTGAACCCGGTACCAAGGTACCCTTACCCATTCCTGACATGAACGTGATACACGAGGATATGAAGGACATGGGCGTCCTGATTGGACGTGGAGGGCGGTGGAATAATGTAAGTAATTGCACATAATAGTAATTTAATTAATTTAATTTAATCAATAACACCATTTAATCTCCAAATGAGTTGGCAGAGCAGAGCCTCATGTAGTGTAGGTAATATATTTATACCCACATTTTGACATTTCTCAAGTTATGTCATAAGTCTCATGCAAAATGGAGTGAGCCATGAGTGAGCCTATGGGGGCTAACGTTAATTCTCGCAAGATCGCTCAAACGTACACTACCTACGTTTAAAAGGGTTTTTGTCCAATCACAGCAGCTGTCAAATATTAAACGTCCAATGATGTGACACTAAATAATTTCCTATTGGACGAAGAACGAAAGTTTCACTCAAGCTAATTTCCTATTGGACGAAGAACGAGAGTGTCACACTAGCACCAAATGATAAGATATTTTTGAAAAATTTAAAATCACCGAATAATCTTTGCCTTGGAATCGAAACCAACGATGCAGTCGTTGTAATTAGACATAATTAAGATGGATTGACATGTAAGACTCCACCAAACACGTGAGGTTACCTGTGTCTAGAAATTAAAAATATGATTTGATTTGATAAATCCATCTGTTAATGTAAGGAAGAGAAGACCCAGAGTCATATTTACAGACTAAATTAACGCCTTTAACCTGATATATTTATTGTTTACAGGTATTAAGAATAAAGCCGCCGATGTGTATTAACAAGGAAGACGTCGACTTCACTGTTTCTGTTCTAGATCAGGCAATCAAGAATTATTTACATACTAAAAAATAAATGAATATTACTATTATATACCTCTATATTTTTAATTATTATTTTATTTCAAATCCTGTTAGTACCCTACAATACACGTACGGTAGTCGTTTCAAAGGGCTAATAATTCCCCTATACTTATTATACTCTTTGGTTAATAAGCTTAAGTTTATGTATGATGACAAATTATTATTTTGTTCACGTTGAGCTTATTCAACGTCCTTGAAATTACTTAATAACTTTTTGTATAAAAAAGGTTTTTATTTGTAATAAAAATGTCTACTGCATACAGCACAGATCTACTACTTTGAAAGATCCCAACACCATACACTTTTCTATCTGTTATTTAATTTTTTCCATTAATTTTATTGTCTCTTAAGTTGTAAAATTTTTTTTCTTTCCTTATATTGCAAACACTTATCTAAAAACCCTTAAAAAACCTTTTCTGTCGAATGTAAAACAATGTCATCACACAGCTGTGACCATACTGACTGTGACCTTGTCATTGTCACCTGTCACCTGGTTGGTATCACTGTCACTTGTTTGTCAGTGCAGCTAAAGTTATTTTTATTTCAGTTAAAATACGATATGTATTATCTACTTTAATTAGTACCTTGATTAAATAAAGTACAATAATAGTAAGACGATAAGAGGCGGACAAAACATTTTCCGTATCAGATAATTACTTTTACTGTAAAAATAATTAACATAACCTAAAATTCGGCGATTGCTTTTAATATTAACTATTTCATCATCTATAGAAACTTGTAAAATAATATAAAAATGGTTTTTAAGTGCCAGGAAGATAGTTTTTTAAGGAAGGTAAGTTCCTTGACCATCTATGTTTGTCACTCTAGAAAATATGATACAAGTTTATTTATTTTGAAATTTATTAATAAAATTCTAATTAGAATCTACATTAGTATCATTAATCCAGTATGAGAAATCTTGTTTGATTATTTCTTCTGTCAAGTCCATTTTATTATAATGGTTATCTTGTTAATATTCAGTAAAGTATAAATTAAAATTCCAATTAGAATCTCCCTAAATCAGTGGTTTTCAAAGTGTTCTGGTCTACGACCTAAGTCCAATTCCCAAACTCAGGACCTAGATTCAGGGAATTAACCTATTACCAAAATGTATATGTTCTACATACAAGGCCCATTAAAAATTCGCTTGAGAGCTTCGCTTCGACCCATAGTTTGAGAAACCCTGTCCTAAATGATTGCTAAGTCGTTGTATTATGACTATACTCGTAATACATACTTACTATGCAATAAGTGAAGAAAAAACAAGTGTACTAGCTCTGTACCCATACTAACTACTAGTCCCAAAAAAAATGACAGTTTCTGAAAATGTTAAAAAGTATTCAATTTAATTAACAGCTTATTATAGTGGGTTTGATGGTAGGTAGCATAAAAAACAATAATAAAGGACATCTAAATTATTACATTTTTAGTTTACTTCAAAAGTTATAAAATGTGAACCTACAAATGAGCCGCTGGTTGAATACGGGAAGACATCGCAGTTTGAAGGGTACCAGGTCACATTGGAGAACACAATACTATTTCCCGCTGGTGGTGGACAAGTAAGTATTTTAAACTTTTTTTTTAAAAGCAATGCCACATAAAATATTTAAGATTTTTCTACAAACTGCAACTGTCGAGCATATGTTATCAATTCCCGAATCAGTTAAAATAGAATTTCAATAAATTGATTGGAAAATTTTAATATTTCTTAATTATTTAGCAGTCTTACTCCCAAGCATGAGGATTATGACCGAAAAGAGGTTGTTCACATTAAATATGAACCTCCTTGGATGTTTTAAATATGAATAACGCCCTCCCCTTTTAAAAAAAAATAAAATGTTTAACATCTAAATTATCTGGTTGTTCATTATTGTAATAATTATAACGACCTAATGGATATCTATAATATTTTGTTTGTTATTATTATTGCTTAGCCACATGATATTGGTCGGCTGAATAACACGGAAGTAGTTCAAGTCTTACGCAAAGGAGATGAGGCTCTACATTTCACAAAGGAGCCCATTGAAGTGGGCACTGTGGTGGAACAGGAGATCAACTGGGACCGACGATTTGATCATATGCAACAGCACTCAGGTATATTTTGTATTATTTATTCATTTATTTTTTGTAGCGCATTGTCAATCTATTCCTATCGATTGACTTTTCACATTTTCAATTTTATATATTAAAGTCGAAAATCCAATGAAAAAATTATTTATGGAGTCTGGTTATAGGATAAAGGAAATGATTAATTAAACTCATCTATCTACTGTGCACTAAATTTACTAACTAAACCAATTTAGCTCAGTATTATGTTTTAGTTTTACTGCTTACATCCTTGAATTATTTAAAAAAAATGCTCATTCAGCAGTCTGTACTATTGATTATATAATTTTCATTTCTATGAGAATCAATTTTGAGAAATACTTAGATAAAATGCTGAAAAAAGCATTTTTTTCTCAGGTCAGCATTTACTCTCAGCTATTTTGGAGAAGGAACATAATCTACCGACCACTAGCTGGTGGCTAGGTTTGGAAGAAAGCTATGTTGAATTGGACTCGACAAAAGTTAGCGAAGAAGTGATAAAGGCCACTGAAAATAGATGCAATCAATTAATTCAGGAAGCTATACCAGTCAACGTGAAGTTCTGTAAGGCTAATGACCCAGATTTAAATGAGGTAAGCATTTTTTTATTTTGTAATGCAATTACCTTAAGCGATTTATAATAGCCAGGAGAAAATCCTAGTAAGGTCCCTTCTTACTTCCGTTTTGCAAATTTTCAGTTAACTTCCCATCTTGTAGATAACACAAACAATTGTTTAAATTCGAGTTAAATTTACTGCGCCTACAACGTAAGTTGATAAAGTCGATCCAAGAATTGTGCCCTGTGTACGGTACGACAATAGGAACACCACCATTAGGTACATGGAATTACACATAACTTACGAAAACTGATTACATACTATTACTTACATTATTTACTATGAACTTGCAAGTAGACAATAAAATAACTTTATTTGATTTTAAGGCTCACACTCGAGGTCTTCCAAAAGATTGTATGGAGACGATCAGAATCATATGCATCGGTAATGTAGACGAGAATATGTGCTGCGGTACTCATGTTACTAATCTCAGGTAATAACTAGGAACCTTAAACCTTAACTATATCAATATGTAGAGATTAAAAGAGTAGAAATGTGGTAGTTTTTTTAGTCAGTAAGAGTCTCACACTCCCTCTCGCCGTGTGCGTTACCCAGGCCAGATGTTGTCGAAAATGGTCATTTGAATCTTATGGATAATTAGTAATGGTGCGGCTTCTGTAATTTTTGCGCACATTTTTAAATTTGTTGCGTTTATAGTTTTTTTAATTATTTCACAAAAACAATTCCTGCTGGGGTAACGTTACCCCAGCCAGACCTATAAAGGTCCAAAAACGTTACCCCAGCAAAATCTCGAATAAATTCGCAACCAATGAAAGAACAAATACAAATTAAGGCGCAACATTTACTTCATCTAGACAACTAATTTTATAGATAGTTTTTATTTAAATATTCCCATTAGAAAGAAAAAGGTCTGGCTGGAGTAACGCACACCCTCTCGCCTAACCCAAGGCGGGAGAAATCATTGGATGATTATCTCCCCCTCAAATAAAAAGGTACAGACTACAGAATGGTGGCTACTGTATTTTTACTCATCAGATAGTACTAGTGAGAGCGTCTCGTTTTTCATCCATTAGGGAATTAGCTATTGGACGTTCTTTATTTGACAGTTACAGTGATTGGACGACAATCCTTTTTCTACATTTGCGCCATCTATAGATTGATATGATGATTTAATTGAAATTTCAAACAACAAAAATATACAAATTTTAAAATACAGTAACATCTCCGCTAACTATTCTTAACCTAAACCATTTATTTCCTAAGAATTACTTGGCATGATGGGGCACTTTACCTTTAGGTGTCACTTAAAGGTTGATAAATGGCATCTTAGCTTAAGGAATAATTTAAGAAACGTGGATGGAAACAGGTTTTAGATTAACAACAGTTATTACATTTCAGATGATAAGATTGAATTTTTTTTCAGCCAACTGCAGACGATTAAGTTAACGGGCATTGAGCCAGGGAAGAAGGGTAAAACTAACCTTAAGTTCTTGGTGGGAAACCGAGTTCTTAGGACCTTCCAACTGATGCTGGACAGAGAGAAGGCTTTGACTGGATTACTCAAGTAAGTTTCTTTTGTTTCATCACCGACTTGACCGCTAACCTAGGCTAGGTGTCATAGTTTCGATTCCCGCATCGAACAATTCTTTGTGTAAGCCTCAAATATTTTTTTGTGTTGGATAGTCCATTTAATAAAGAAGGCTATAAGCCTATTACTCTACGCGTAATCGGACCCTAACAACAGGGAGGCGGGTAATGCCAACTTCGAATAAAATGTTAGATTTTTCGAATAAAGGCAAGAAAAATGTACCAAAAAAAAATATTGTCATACAATCTAGAATAATAATAATAATGTGTGTAAAGCTAAATGTTGCATAGGGCGTCTGCGCAGTTGGCTTCGGCCCCTCTTACGCCTACCAAATGACCGGGACCCTGTGGTCCCGTGAAAAAGATACACATACTAATAATAAAACCCATTTATTTCCAACAACCTCAAATAATAAACTTTACGCATTACAGAAACGAACCAACCAGACACGAAGATTTAGTTCAAAAACTGCAAAAGAACTTGAAAATAGCCAATAAGAACTTACAAACAGTACTGCAAGAACTCGCTCAGTTTGAAATAGAGAGAATAAAAAGTTCAATCCCGAAACCGAAGTACGTGATTATGTTTAAGAAGGAGGCTACTCCAGAGTTTAACCGGGCTGTTATCAAAGGTTTGGAGGGCGAAGGCCTATTCTTGTTCTTTGCTTCGGAGGAACCTGATAAGCCTAAAGAGGGACAAATTATTATACAAGGCCCTGAGGAACACTGCAATGCTTTGGGAACAAAGTGAGTAACATGTTACCCATTGGACTCCTTTCTGTCTCTTTATTCGACTCTCAACTTTATTGTCCAGCTGTAAAGTTGAAAATCCAATGAGGATTGGAATTGACTGACCTGTTCTATAGAACTGGTCACTCCAAATACGTGTGCGTTACACAGGCCAAATGTTGTCGAAAATGGTCATTTGAATCTTATAGATAATTCGTAATTGTTGCGCACATTTAGTTCTGTAATTTTGCGCACATTTTTAAATTTGTTGCGCTTATAGTTTTTTAATTATTTCACAAAAACATTTCCTGATGGGGTAACATTACACCAGATAGACCTTTTTCTATCTAAACCCCAGCAGGAAATGTTTTTGTGAAATAATTAACATAAGCGCAACAAATTTAAAAATGTTCGCAACAATTACAGAAGCCCCACAACTATCTATAAAATTCAAATGACCATTTTCGACAACATCTGGCCTAAGTAACGCACACCCCAAATACCAGTCTATTATTTTAAACAAGATTTCATTTTCAATTTTTTTGTGTTGTTATGAAGTCTAAAATTTGTAGAAGATATAAATGGCATACTGAAGTTTTTAATATCTTTTCAGGATCACGGAACTCTTGAAAGGCAAAGGTGCATTTAAAAATGGCAAGTTTCAAGGCAAAGCTGGTGATTTGAGCGGCATGAACAAGTGCAAAAAGTTGATTGAAGACTATTTTAACAGTCAATAAATAAAATACTCATAAATAATCACCATAAGTTTTATTTAATTGAATAAATATCCATACACAACTTACATAAGTAATAAAATAACCATAACATAAATAATTTATAATGATATTAGGGCAATTTTCGGAATTTTAATCTAGACCCGTACCCGAGAAATGTAGTTGTGCAGAAATTACTTCAACAAGACAAACAGCATTATTTTAAAGTAACAAGAGACATTTCAGTTGTACAAAATATAAATGCTTTTATAATGGCAATAGTAAGTGTTCGCTTATATACAAAAGCTTAAACATAGTTTTCATGGTGAAATAAACCGAGGTTTATATTGTATAACAATTCACTTAGAACTATAAGAAGGAATGAATTTAAACATGGATAAAGGAATACAAATTGTGTAAACATAATTATATTGCACTTTAGGACACACTCATATTATTACAATGCATGCTACTTCAAATAATTTAATATTACAATGTTTGATCAATCAGCAATATATTCATATATTTAAGTTCCATTGCACTAATACAGTAAAATATTTCACTAATATAATAGGACATTCCCTAAGCATTATCGGAACAGTTTGTCATCCTCCTTACAGTCTATGGTGTTTGACGCATTGATGCTGGCGATCAGCTTCTCGATGCCTAGGTTGGTCCAGTCCTGGGACAGATCATCCAAATAATTGTCAAAGTCCACAAGGTCCTTTTGGACACCGCGCTGCAGTAAGTGTGACACCGTTTCCAAAACATAAGGAGTCTCTGAAATGTTGAAATAAAATGGATAAAAATGTGTACAAAAAGTCTACATTTTTATTGAGTATGTACCTACACCAAATTGGACACCAATTTTGTCAAGATTATTTAATAAATAAATAGGCTGTTAAATATTCTGCTACGATCAAAAGAGGCCTGACAGCGGATGAAACCACACAGTAGTAGCTAGCTTACTATAAATATACCAAGAGTTTTCTGTTTTTAAATGGTTGAGATAACTTACGGAACATGACTTTGTTTGCATCCTTAAGCTTCCACCGTCCATCAGCGTACTTATGCAGCTTAATGGCAGGAGTGTCTAAATGTTGCATCATCCTCTTGTTATCAACCTGCAAAAGATAGAAAAAACATGATGTTAGGCATGAGAATTTTGATAAAATTAAGTAACTATTGTAATAGCTATTTGATTTTCTTTCTAAAGAATTTTGTAGCTTATAGACACATTACTTACCACAACAAACACTGCTGATGGGAAATGCTCTGCAATTTTTTCAGCAATCTTCTGTCCTGGACACTTTTCAACAGTATTATCCTTGAAGTTCTCACATGCTGCGTAGTAGCCAGCTATCACACGATTGTCTGCTTGTGCCACAGTCTCTATCTATAAAAAAAAGTTTACCAATAAAACAAAAAAAAAAAACACACCAACGTAAAGCAGCTTCATTAACAGAGACCAATGGATAATACAATTATTTTATTGTTTCCTGTACATACCTATGTGATTTCATTTTAATAAATGTTTTGACTTAAACTGTACCCTTAGGAAATCTAATCAGAATCAGAGTTACAAAGAAACCTTCAAGTAATTAGTGAACTGCACAGTGTTTACATTCCTCAGATAGAAGAACAAGGAGCCTGCATACTGCAATCAATAGCATAGGTATGTGCATACAAAACAGCTGTATTCAGGGAATTCTTAATGATTAACCTAGATTCATCAATATTACCTGTGTCAATGCGATCTCCGCCATTGGTGACAAATAGTGACTGTGGTGGAACAAGGGGATAGTATCGACAATATCCAAGTCCTGATTCTTAGCTCCATCTCTGATTTTTGTGGCATCCGCTAAAAGAACGCCGTTCACAGCGCAATGGGGATATTTGGCCGCATGTAATATAATTTTAGCGTACGCCGCTGTCTCCAATGATACTTCACCCATTGTTTTTTTTTTATTCTTAAAATTATACTTCACACAAGAACTCTCTTACAATAGTAACAGGAAAACCACGAAGTTTAATTAATGGATTTCGGAATGATCATTGATCATCACATCAAATCAACTCAGATTTTGGTACATTTGACAACGATTGGTTTGACAGTTCTTTCGATTTGTCAAATGTTTGGCAGTCATATGTCATTCTCATTTTACATTTGTCATGTAGCAAAACATTCAACCTGCTTTAGGAATTAAACAGCTAGTAGATTTTCAAATTCAATTAACATTTATCCTGAAAATTATGATGATTAACTTGATACTGATGATGATGATATTAATTATCTAGTCTAGTCAGTGATGCCACATAAGCATTATACGGCAACACCGCATCAGCTGATTTCATTGCTTCATTCGGCAAAAAATCTCAAAAAATTGCAAAAAATGAACAATGAACGTCACCGTGACATGTCATGTTGACATTGACAATCATAATCACAAAATAATACGAAAGGAGATTTTGTAAAACAATTCAATGTTTACAATTGAATATTTAACAATAAACTCTTGATTATGGATAAGTATGATACGTCTCAGATCACAGAATTTCCTCGTTACGAACCGGAGTCATCGCAGAGTGGTGTCTCTACGTTCTTTAACAAATTATGGAAGTTTCCTCTATTTTCTGCTAGTGAGGCTATAGATAATATGGCAAACAAGGCAATAAGTGACGGGAAAGACGCCCCTCAGAATGAGGAACAGAAGCAAGACTATGATGAAGGGAAACCTGAGACAGGAACGTATGCTGAGGAGTTGGAAGGTAGAAGTCTGCCTAACGTTCTTAGGAGAATCAGTAGTCTAATAGCCTTGGGATCTGGGGTAAGATAAACACGATCGTATTGTATACGTGACTTAATTTTTAAATTAATAGAACAATCCTATTCAATCCTTTTACTACATTTTATTTGACTCAGTACCTAACCCAAAACTAATCAGACATAGCTAAGAAAAGAAATAAGTTTCACTTAATTTACATTTATAAAATGTTGTATGAATTAAACATGCAACGATGCATTGGTTTACTGGATTTATATGTTCAGTGTGCCTACTTAGACTTACACTGCCACTGTTAAATGTAACACCCACTTTCCACTATTTATATTATGAATCCCATGTAATAGGGGGTGAGCCTATTGCCATATACCCGGCACATTTCCAGACTCCGTGCTACTAAGAAGTTTTTTTTTTAAACCCATTGATACTTTGCCCTTCCTGGGAATCGAAGCCAAGACCCCTTGGCCGGCAGTTGCACTTGCGACCACTCGGCCAATGAACCAGTGCCTACTTAGAATAATTCTATATTAAATGATAACCTTCTTGTAGTAAATTGTCATACTTATTAGTGACACTGCAAATAAAGAAGATATAAAACCAACTGCCTTATCTATTTTTTGCCTTTCTACAGACAAGACTCACTAAAAATTCGCTTGCAACCCACCGATGGGTTGCGACCTAAGGTTTGGGAATGCCTGCCTTACCACATTAAATCCATCTATCCCTGTGTGAAGAAGAATAATTAAATAAAATACTACTGAATATCAGTAACTTATTAGCTTTCATTTGTGGCTGTAATACCATTTTTTTTTCTATTTCCAGGGTGGAACAAAGTATGCAGACACAGAACTGGCCCGCTATTGGATGCCGGATGATATTTCACGTGAATGTTACGAATGTGCCTCAAGATTCAGTACACTGCGACGTAGACATCACTGCAGAGTGTGCGGACAAATATTCTGTTCTAGATGCTGCAGCCAAAGAGTGCCAGGTAATGGAAATTATTTTATCTATAAAATAAAATAAAAAAAGTAAAATAAGCCTTTATTGCTGTAGTTACAATAACAAAAATTACAGTTGTAACCAAAGTTGTAACAGAGTTAAAAAATAAACAAACTTAAAAACTACTCTAAAATTATCTCAGCAATCGGTTTCTCTCCTCTTACAACAGCTTGTCTTTCGAGAAAGGCCTCCTCTAAGGGTTTCCACTTGTTTCTGTCCTTTGCTACACGTAACCATTCTGGCCCTGCTACTTCCCATTGTTTATGCTGTCTTCCTCTACTTCTCCTGCGGTCTCTAGGGTACCATTCTGTAATTATTCTGGTCCATTTCTCTCTCTCTTCTCTCAGCATATGTCCTGTCCAACGCCATTTCAGTGTTCTATATACTGATAGGACATTTCCGAACTTAGTATTTTCTTTGATTTCTTTCAGTTTTTAAAATTTTTGTCTGCTTGTCTTTATGTATGTCCGGGATGATCTCAGAAAGTGCTACATGGATTTACTTCAAATTTTGTATGATTATTACTAAAGGGTTGGGTCAACATATAGGTTACATATTATCATGCTATCAACTACAGGGTATGCACAGTAAATCACTATTCCACGCGAACGAAGTCGCGGGCACAGCTAGTTTTTACATATATGAAGTTATATGAAACTGTTTCAAATATCTTTCTGTATATTGCTAATATGAACTTTGTTCTACATTAACAGGGCACATATTTGGGTGTGCTGGTGGGCTACGGGTTTGCAACTATTGTTGCAATGTAGTACTGAGTTATCTGAAGGAAAATGACATGACTGGTGAGATACCACCTGATCTAAGGACTCTGCAGGAGAACTTACAGGTATGTATCAGTGGTAACAATTTTTGATTATTTATTTTTCTAAGAGTATTAATTTTTAGTCAATCAATTCTCTAAAACAATACTTCGTAACATAACAGGTGAAGTTCCCAGAGAACAAGTCACAGCAAGCTCACAAGTTGCGCGACAGCTTCATGTTCCCCCGCGAGCAGGAGGAGCGCTGCGAGCCACGACAACAACATGAGGCACTACACGACGTCTACAGGCATCTCATGTACTCACTGCCCACGCAGCAACACAGGTGACACATATACTACACCTCACTATACACTGCCACGCAGCAACACAGTGACACATGTACTACACCTCACTATACACTGCCACGCAGCAACACAGTGACACATGTACTACACCTCACTATACACTGCCACGCAGCAACACAGTGACACATGTACTACACCGCACTATACACTGCCTCGCAGCAACACAGGTGACACATGTACTACACCTCACTATACACTGCCTCGCAGCAACACAGGTGACACATGTACTACACCTCACTATACACTGCCTCGCAGCAACACTGTGACACATGTACTACACCTCACTATACACTGCCACGCAGCAACACAGGTGACACATGTACTACACCTCACTATACACTGCCACGCAGCAACACAGGTGACACATGTACTACACCTCACTATACACTGCCACGCAGCAACACAGTGACACATGTACTACACCTCACTATACACTGCCTCGCAGCAACACAGGTGACACATGTACTACACCTCACTATACACTGCCACGCAGCAACACAGTGACACATGTACTACACCTCACTATACACTGCCTCGCAGCAACACAGGTGACACATGTACTACACCTCACTATACACTGCCACGCAGCAACACAGTGACACATGTACTACACCTCACTATACACTGCCTCGCAGCAACACAGGTGACACATGTACTACACCTCACTATACACTGCCTCGCAGCAACACTGTGACACATGTACTACACCTCACTATACACTGCCACGCAGCAACACAGGTGACACATGTACTACACCTCACTATACACTGCCACGCAGCAACACAGGTGACACATGTACTACACCTCACTATACACTGCCACGCAGCAACACAGTGACACATGTACTACACCTCACTATACACTGCCTCGCAGCAACACAGGTGACACATGTACTACACCTCACTATACACTGCCACGCAGCAACACAGTGACACATGTACTACACCTCACTATACACTGCCTCGCAGCAACACAGGTGACACATGTACTACACCTCACTATACACTGCCACGCAGCAACACAGTGACACATGTACTACACCTCACTATACACTGCCACGCAGCAACACAGTGACACATGTACTACACCTCACTATACACTGCCACGCAGCAACACAGTGACACATGTACTACACCTCACTATACACTGCCACGCAGCAACACAGTGACACATGTACTACACCTCACTATACACTGCCTCGCAGCAACACAGTGACACATGTACTACACCGCACTATACACTGCCACGCAGCAACACAGGTGACACATGTACTACACCTCACTATACACTGCCACGCAGCAACACAGTGACACATGTACTACACCTCACTATACACTGCCACGCAGCAACACAGTGACACATGTACTACACCTCACTATACACTGCCACGCAGCAACACAGTGACACATGTACTACACCTCACTATACACTGCCACGCAGCAACACAGTGACACATGTACTACACCTCACTATACACTGCCTCGCAGCAACACAGTGACACATGTACTACACCTCACTATACACTGCCACGCAGCAACACAGGTGACACATGTACTACACCTCACTATACACTGCCACGCAGCAACACAGTGACACATGTACTACACCTCACTATACACTGCCACGCAGCAACACAGTGACACATGTACTACACCTCACTATACACTGCCACGCAGCAACACAGTGACACATGTACTACACCTCACTATACACTGCCTCGCAGCAACACAGTGACACATGTACTACACCGCACTATACACTGCCACGCAGCTACACAGGTGACACATGTACTACACCTCACTATACACTGCCACGCAGCAACACAGTGACACATGTACTACACCTCACTATACACTGCCACGCAGCAACACAGTGACACATGTACTACACCTCACTATACACTGCCACGCAGCAACACAGTGACACATGTACTACACCTCACTATACACTGCCTCGCAGCAACACAGTGACACATGTACTACACCGCACTATACACTGCCACGCAGCAACACAGTGACACATGTACTACACCTCACTATACACTGCCACGCAGCAACACAGTGACACATGTACTACACCTCACTATACACTGCCACGCAGCAACACAGTGACACATGTACTACACCTCACTATACACTGCCACGCAGCAACACAGTGACACATGTACTACACCTCACTATACACTGCCACGCAGCAACACAGTGACACATGTACTACACCTCACTATACACTGCCTCGCAGCAACACAGTGACACATGTACTACACCGCACTATACACTGCCACGCAGCTACACAGGTTACACATGTACTACACTTCACTATACACTGCCACGCAGCAACACAGTGACACATGTACTACACCTCACTATACACTGCCACGCAGCAACACAGTGACACATGTACTACACCTCACTATACACTGCCACGCAGCAACACAGTGACACATGTACTACACCTCACTATACACTGCCACGCAGCAACACAGTGACACATGTACTACACCTCACTATACACTGCCTCGCAGCAACACAGTGACACATGTACTACACCGCACTATACACTGCCACGCAGCAACACAGTGACACATGTACTACACCTCACTATACACTGCCACGCAGCAACACAGTGACACATGTACTACACCTCACTATACACTGCCACGCAGCAACACAGTGACACATGTACTACACCTCACTATACACTGCCACGCAGCAACACAGTGACACATGTACTACACCTCACTATACACTGCCACGCAGCAACACAGTGACACATGTACTACACCTCACTATACACTGCCACGCAGCAACACAGTGACACATGTACTAGACCTCACTATACACTGCCTCGCAGCAACACAGTGACACATGTACTACACCTCACTATACACTGCCACGCAGCAACACAGTGACACATGTACTACACCTCACTATACACTGCCACGCAGCAACACAGTGACACATGTACTACACCTCACTATACACTGCCACGCAGCAACACAGTGACACATGTACTACACCTCACTATACACTGCCACGCAGCAACACAGTGACACATGTACTACACCTCACTATACACTGCCACGCAGCAACACAGTGACACATGTACTACACCTCACTATACACTGCCTCGCAGCAACACAGTGACACATGTACTAGACCTCACTATACACTGCCACGCAGCAACACAGTGACACATGTACTACACCTCACTATACACTGCCACGCAGCAACACAGTGACACATGTACTACACCTCACTATACACTGCCACGCAGCAACACAGGTGACACATGTACTACACCTCACTATACACTGCCACGCAGCAACACAGTGACACATGTACTACACCTCACTATACACTGCCACGCAGCAACACAGTGACACATGTACTACACCTCACTATACACTGCCACGCAGCAACACAGTGACACATGTACTACACCTCACTATACACTGCCACGCAGCAACACAGTGACACATGTACTACACCTCACTATACACTGCCACGCAGCAACACAGTGACACATGTACTACACCTCACTATACACTGCCTCGCAGCAACACAGTGACACATGTACTACACCGCACTATACACTGCCACGCAGCTACACAGGTGACACATGTACTACACCTCACTATACACTGCCACGCAGCAACACAGTGACACATGTACTACACCTCACTATACACTGCCACGCAGCAACACAGTGACACATGTACTACACCTCACTATACACTGCCACGCAGCAACACAGTGACACATGTACTACACCTCACTATACACTGCCTCGCAGCAACACAGTGACACATGTACTACACCGCACTATACACTGCCACGCAGCAACACAGTGACACATGTACTACACCTCACTATACACTGCCACGCAGCAACACAGTGACACATGTACTACACCTCACTATACACTGCCACGCAGCAACACAGTGACACATGTACTACACCTCACTATACACTGCCACGCAGCAACACAGTGACACATGTACTACACCTCACTATACACTGCCACGCAGCAACACAGTGACACATGTACTACACCTCACTATACACTGCCACGCAGCAACACAGTGACACATGTACTACACCTCACTATACACTGCCACGCAGCAACACAGTGACACATGTACTACACCTCACTTACACTGCCACGCAGCAACACAGTGACACATGTACTAGACCTCATTATACACTGCCTCGCAGCAACACAGTGACACATGTACTACACCTCACTATACACTGCCACGCAGCAACACAGTGACACATGTACTACACCTCACTATACACTGCCTCGCAGCAACACAGTGACACATGTACTACACCTCACTATACACTGCCACGCAGCAACACAGTGACACATGTACTACACCTCACTATACACTGCCACGCAGCAACACAGTGACACATGTACTACACCTCACTATACACTGCCACGCAGCAACACAGTGACACATGTACTAGACCTCACTATACACTGCCTCGCAGCAACACAGTGACACATGTACTACACCTCACTATACACTGCCTCGCAGCAACACAGTGACACATGTACTACACCTCACTATACACTGCCTCGCAGCAACACAGTGACACATGTACTACACCTCACTATACACTGCCTCGCAGCAACACAGTGACACATGTACTACACCTCACTATACACTGCCTCGCAGCAACACAGTGACACATGTACTACACCTCACTATACACTGCCTCGCAGCAACACAGTGACACATGTACTACACCTCACTATACACTGCCTCGCAGCAACACAGTGACACATGTACTACACCTCACTATACACTGCCACGCAGCCCATGACGTACTCGTTTCCCGACAACTTCACTAATATTTTACAGGTATCGTCTTGTTCGCTACAACGGAGTATGGCGTGGCTGTGACATCCTTCAATGGGTCATGGACAACACCAGTAACAAGACGAGGTGAGTGTTTCATTACAGAATTACATTGTGAATTACATTGTGACGTTACATCATACTTACTGATACCATCAATATCTTCGTCCAGGGCCCAAGCTACACTATTCTGTCAAAATCTACTCTGTGCCGGTTACATGGAGTGTATGACGGAACTACCCCAGTTTGTTGACTACGCGCTCTATAAGCCCGCAGTTTTACCACTACGGCCTACCGATGAAGAAAATTCACGTACGTATATCTATTAAATATTGTTGTTATACATAAAAAAATGTATAAAGTAATTTAGATTTTTTTATGGCACAGGTGGCAAACGAACAGACGGTTCACCTGATGGTAAGTGATCAGCGCTGTGTGTGTGTGTGTGTTTGTGTGTGTGTGTGTGTAACCTATAGCCTTTCTCAATAAATGCGCTATCCAGCACAAAAAGAGTTATTGAAATCGGACCAGTAGATCGGGGGATTAATTAGCTCGTTCAAACAAACAAACTAACAAACTCTGAAGCTTTATTATTATATAATAGTATAAGATATGGCATATTTTAACAGCTGAGGAGTCAACAAGATTGGAGAGTGCCTCGTCATCATCATATTGCCTCGATTTGAATCTGGACGAGAGTTCCGCAAGACTTACAAAGACACCCAAAGCAGGTAAGCCAAGCAATAAAACACTGTCTATTGTAGGGTATAAGCACTAAATTAAACTTTTTTATTGCAGAAAAGAAATCGTCGTCCAGTGAGGAAGAACCACCGGTATTAGAACAAAATGAAGGTAATAATACAAATATGTATATGTATAATATCCGACCTGAACCAGGACAACATTTTTTGAGATGGATGACAAGACGCATTTTGTATCTTCTTTTCGCATAATTTCTTACTTTAGCTTTCAAAATGAAAATACTTTCCATGGTTTTTTTTATGGCATAAGCCGGTAAACTAGCAGACGGGTCACCTGATGGTAGGCAATCGGCGTCGCCCATGGACACCTGGAACACCAAAGGCATTACGTAAGTTCGTTACCGGCCTTTTGGGGATTAGGAGTTTGAGGATCGTTGGGGATTCAGGAATTGGGAAGATTGGGGAAGGGGAGGGTAATTGGGTAACCTCACTCACACGACGAAACACGACGCAAGCGTTACTTCACTCCGGTTGAGTCGGCCCATTTGTGCCGAAGCATGGCTCTCTCACACTTGAAGTCGGGTTGTCGAAGACTATATATTTTGTCTATTCGATTGCTGTAACATTCTAGTATCATTATAATTTTATTTAAATTCGGACAGCGCCGACGGAAGCCAGACACATCTGTAAGGCTATAGTGGAGTCTGGCTCGGAACACCTGCGGCTACTGATGCGGCAGTGCCTGGCGCGCCACGCGCTGCCCGCCGCCTGGCTGCACGTACTGTACCCGCTCTGTGTGCAGGCCGCCGACACCATCGTGCTGGGTGAGTGCCTACCGTACTATACATTATCGCGGGACGATCTCCGGCCACCGTAAGCGCGGGCCTGCGGGCGGCGAGCATGGGTGGCTCCCCGTCCGACCAGAAACAGACCCGAGTGTACGGCGCCGAGCGTTCGGCGCGCTCCTCAAAGAGCCATCAGACCACCACGGATGGGGCCCAATAGGGCTGATACCGATTCGGAGTCGCGGAGAACCTAACGGGTTACCGGGGCTCTGGCTCGAAGTGCAGGAGAAGGAACGGGGCGATTTTTAGTCAGTAAGAGTCTGACACTCCCTCCCGCCTCACCCAGGCGGGAGAAGTCATTCAATGATTTTCTCCCCTTAAAAAAACAATACTATACATTATATACAGATACATGCGGACAGATTCAAGATCTGTATCACCAGTTGGAATTGACTCTACTACTGAAGAAACGCCCCTTTTTCCATCAAGAGTAGACACTTAAAGAGTTGGCGCTGAGGAGGTGTGATCTAGCTGTGTTTTCTACCTATTCTGTCTGCCAGTTCCTGATATTTTGTAGATAGAATGCGATAGAATCCATATCGACTTGACTGATATAATTGTTTTTTTTTTCGTGATTGACATATCTGATATATCAATTACGAAAAAATATTTGGAGAAACTTTGATAGGGGGCAAATTTTTTTTAAGTAAATAGAGAAATGAATGTATTTCAGACGTGAACAGCAACGACATAGACGTCCGCAACTACGTGCAGGTGAAGAAGGTGCCGGGCGGCACTATGCGCGACAGCTGCCTCGTGCAGGGCGTCGTGCTCACCAAGAACGTCGCGCACAGGTACTGGCCACTACGTCATGATGGCTTCTTTTATATAGGGGGACGATTATACTGGTAGACATGGAGAGGAGAGAGAAAGGGGAGCGAGAGGCAACAAGGAAGAAAATGAGTGAAAGGAAGTTAGTGTAAGAGAGAAGAAAACAACAGGGGGGAGGGGAAGGGAAGTGAGACAGAATATTATGATATTCCTTTTTTTACACAGGGGCATGCCACAGCAGATATCAAACCCCACCATACTACTTCTTGACTGCTCTATAGCGTACCAACGCGTTGAGGGAAAACTTACTTCGCTGGAACCAGTTTTATTGCAGGTTAGTTTATGTCATCTCTCCTAACCAAGCTAGTTAGTTGCCAAATGTGTTAAAATCGTTTTTTTGTTTTACTCGATTGTGGCATTATAGGTATTATTTATTAAACATGTTCATTGTTATTCTGTTGCTTCCACTATTCCATCAAATGTAATTTGAAGGGGGCGTATAGTATAGTACAGTACAGTCTGTGGGGTAGGAGCGGGAGTACCTGGTGCGGTGCGCGGCCCGTATAGCGGCGCTGCGGCCGCGCGTGGGTTGGTGGGCGGGGCGTATAGTATAGTACAGTACAGTCTGTGGGGTAGGAGCGGGAGTACCTGGTGCGGTGCGCGGCCCGTATAGCGGCGCTGCGGCCGCGCGTGGTGTTGGTGGGCGGGGCGTATAGTATAGTACAGTTCAGTCTGTGGGGTAGGAGCGGGAGTACCTGGTGCGGTGCGCGGCCCGTATAGCGGCGCTGCGGCCGCGCGTGGGGTAGGAGCGGGAGTACCTGGTGCGGTGCGCGGCCCGTATAGCGGCGCTGCGGCCGCGCGTGGTGTTGGTGGGCGGGGCGTATAGTATAGTACAGTACAGTCTGTGGGGTAGGAGCGGAGTACTCTGGTGCGGTGCGCGGCCCGTATAGCGGCGCTGCGGCCGCGCGTGTGTTGGTGGCGGGCGTATAGTATAGTACAGTTCAGTCTGTGGGGTAGGAGCGGGAGTACCTGGTGCGGTGCGCGGCCCGTATAGCGGCGCTGCGGCCGCGCGTGTGTTGGTGGGCGGGGCGTATAGTATAGTACAGTTCAGTCTGTGGGGTAGGAGCGGGAGTACCTGGTGCGGGCGCGGCCCGTATAGCGGCGCTGCGGCCGCGCGTGGTGTTGGTGGGCGGGCGTATAGTATAGTACAGTACAGTCTGTGGGGTAGGAGCGGGAGTACCTGGTGCGGTGCGCGGCCCGTATAGCGGCGCTGCGGCCGCGCGTGGTGTTGGTGGGCGGGGCGTATAGTATAGTACAGTACAGTCTGTGGGGTAGGAGCGGGAGTACCTGGTGCGGTGCGCGGCCCGTATAGCGGCGCTGCGGCCGCGCGTGGTGTTGGTGGGCGGGACGTATAGTAAGTACAGTACAGTCTGTGGGTAGGAGCGGGAGTACCTGGTGCGGTGCGCGGCCCGTATAGCGGCGCTGCGGCCGCGCGTGGTGTTGGTGGGCGGGGCGTATAGTAGTACAGTTCAGTCTGTGGGGTAGGAGCGGGAGTACCTGGTGCGGTGCGCGGCCCGTATAGCGCGCTGCGGCCGCGCGTGGTGTTGGTGGGCGGGGCGTATAGTATAGTACAGTTCAGTCTGTGGGTAGGAGCGGAGTACCTGGTGCGGTGCGCGGCCCGTATAGCGGCGCTGCGGCCGCGCGTGTGTTGGTGGGCGGGGCGTATAGTATAGTACAGTACAGTCTGTGGGGTAGGAGCGGGAGTACCTGGTGCGGTGCGCGGCCCGTATAGCGGCGCTGCGGCCGCGCGTGGTGTTGGTGGGCGGGGCGTATAGTATAGTACAGTTCAGTCTGTGGGGTAGGAGCGGGAGTACCTGGTGCGGTGCGCGGCCCGTATAGCGGCGCTGCGGCCGCGCGTGGTGTTGGTGGGCGGGGCGTATAGTATAGTACAGTTCAGTCTGTGGGGTAGGAGCGGGAGTACCTGGTGCGGTGCGCGGCCCGTATAGCGGCGCTGCGGCCGCGCGTGTGTTGGTGGGCGGCGTATAGTATAGTACAGTTCAGTCTGTGGGTAGGAGCGGAGTACCTGGTGCGGTGCGCGGCCCGTATAGCGGCGCTGCGGCCGCGCGTGGTGTTGGTGGGCGGGGCGTATAGTATAGTACAGTACAGTCTGTGGGGTAGGAGCGGGAGTACCTGGTGCGTTGCGCGGCCCGTATAGCGGCGCTGCGGCCGCGCGTGGTGTTGGTGGGCGGGCGTATAGTATAGTACAGTTCAGTCTGTGGGGTAGGAGCGGAGTACCTGGTGCGGTGCGCGGCCCGTATAGCGGCGCTGCGGCCGCGCGTGGTGTTGTGGGCGGGGCGTATAGTATAGTACAGTACAGTCTGTGGGGTAGGAGCGGGAGTACCTGGTGCGGTGCGCGGCCCGTATAGCGGCGCTGCGGCCGCGCGTGGTGTTGGTGGGCGGGGCGTATAGTATAGTACAGTACAGTCTGTGGGTAGGAGCGGGAGTACCTGGTGCGGTGCGCGGCCCGTATAGCGGCGCTGCGGCCGCGCGTGGTGTTGGTGGGCGGGCGTATAGTATAGTACAGTACAGTCTGTGGGGTAGGAGCGGGAGTACCTGGTGCGGTGCGCGGCCCGTAAGCGGCGCTGCGGCCGCGCGTGGTGTTGGTGGGCGGGGCGTATAGTATAGTACAGTTCAGTCTGTGGGTAGGAGCGGGAGTACCTGGTGCGGTGCGCGGCCCGTATAGCGGCGCTGCGGCCGCGCGTGGTGTTGGTGGGCGGGCGTATAGTATAGTACAGTTCAGTCTGTGGGGTAGGAGCGGGAGTACCTGGTGCGGTGCGCGGCCCGTATAGCGGCGCTGCGGCCGCGCGTGGTGTTGGTGGGCGGGGCGTATAGTATAGTACAGTTCAGTCTGTGGGGTAGGAGCGGAGTACCTGGTGCGGTGCGCGGCCCGTATAGCGGCGCTGCGGCCGCGCGTGGTGTTGGTGGGCGGGGCGTATAGTTAGTACAGTTCAGTCTGTGGGGTAGGAGCGGGAGTACCTGGTGCGGTGCGCGGCCCGTATAGCGGCGCTGCGGCCGCGCGTGTGTTGGTGGGCGGGGCGTATAGTATAGTACAGTTCAGTCTGTGGGGTAGGAGCGGGAGTACCTGGTGCGGTGCGCAGCCCGTATAGCGGCGCTGCGGCCGCGCGTGGTGTTGGTGGGCGGGGCGTATAGTATAGTACAGTTCAGTCTGTGGGGTAGGAGCGGAGTACCTGGTGCGGTGCGCGGCCCGTATAGCGGCGCTGCGGCCGCGCGTGGTGTTGGTGGGCGGCGTATAGTATAGTACAGTACAGTCTGTGGGGTAGGAGCGGGAGTACCTGGTGCGGTGCGCGGCCCGTATAGCGGCGCTGCGGCCGCGCGTGGTGTTGGTGGGCGGGCGTATAGTATAGTACAGTTCAGTCTGTGGGGTAGGAGCGGGAGTACCTGGTGCGGTGCGCGGCCCGTATAGCGGCGCTGCGGCCGCGCGTGGTGTTGGTGGGCGGGGCGTATAGTATAGTACAGTACAGTCTGTGGGGTAGGAGCGGGAGTACCTGGTGCGGTGCGCGGCCCGTATAGCGGCGCTGCGGCCGCGCGTGGTGTTGGTGGGCGGGGCGTATAGTATAGTACAGTACAGTCTGTGGGTAGGAGCGGGAGTACCTGGTGCGGTGCGCGGCCCGTATAGCGGCGCTGCGGCCGCGCGTGGTGTTGGTGGGCGGGGCGTATAGTATAGTACAGTACAGTCTGTGGGGTAGGAGCGGGGAGTACCTGGTGCGGTGCGCGGCCCGTATAGCGGCGCTGCGGCCGCGCGTGGTGTTGGTGGGCGGGGCGTATAGTATAGTACAGTACAGTCTGTGGGGTAGGGGAGGGAGTACCTGGTGCGGTGCGCGGCCCGTATAGCGGCGCTGCGGCCGCGCGTGGTGTTGGTGGGCGGGGCGTATAGTATAGTACAGTACAGTCTGTGGGGTAGGAGCGGGAGTACCTGGTGCGGTGCGCGGCCCGTATAGCGGCGCTGCGGCCGCGCGTGGTGTTGGTGGGCGGGGCGTATAGTATAGTACAGTTACAGTCTGTGGGGTAGGAGCGGGAGTACCTGGTGCGGTGCGCGGCCCGTATAGCGGCGCTGCGGCCGCGCGTGGTGTTGGTGGGCGGGGCGGCGGCGCGGGGCGTGCAAGACGCGCTGCGCCGCGCGGGGGTGGCGCTGGCCGCGCACGTGCGGGGGCGGGCGCTGGCGCGGGCGGCGCGGGCCTCGCGCGCCTCGCCGCTGACCTCCATTGACGCCCGCGTCGGCATGCCGCGACTCGGAACTTGCAACAACTTCTATGTCAAGAACTGTAGGTATCGCTCAATATACATGGTCGTCCCGTAGTTGTAAAAATTTATAGACATGTCTTACAAATTCCATAAATTTTCTTGTCAATAGATTCCAGCAAAACACTAATGGTTTTAGAAGGTTGCGCTGAACCAAACCTAGCGTGCTGCATACTGCTACGAGGAGCATCCCTGCAGGAGTTAATCAAAGTGAAGAAAGTTGTCAAATTCATGCTTCTGGCTTGTTACAACTGGAAACTGGAAAAAGCGTTTTTAGGTGACATCGAGGCTATTCTGCCTGAACCAGGAATGACGTTTGAAGACGACGTGAACGAAAATGAAGTTTCGAAAGATGATGTCGTAAAAGATGATATTACGAATGACGATACTCAGAATGGTGAAGGGGAGAAGGATGATGGTAAACGTAAAGATTCATTGAACGAGGATTCTAGGAAGAGCAACGAGACTGATAGTAATGAGTCGTCTAGATCTGATAATATATTCGTTAACTCTAGTGTTAAAGAGACTGGGAAGGTTGATGATAAAGCTGTAGCACCAAATAGTACAAGTAATGAAGATAAAGAAAATAAAGGTTCACTAGGAGAGGATCCTTTACAAACTACGAAGCCGTTTGTCCGTAAAACGGAAAGTGATAAAACTCTAAGCTGTGGTGTTCCAATCAGAGACTTTAGCGATCCATTGCGCGCTACGTTGTCTGTTGATGACGATGTGTTCTTACCTAAAGAGGAAGCTAAACTGAAGGCCGATACTCATACAGACCGGTAAGTCTTTCACTATATTCTTTTTGTTAAAAAAAAATATATTTAAATGTTGAATTGTCGTGAATATCGATGGGCAATGGTGATGCGTTGCGTATATGTAACCATATTTTTTAAGAAAATTAGTTATGCACATATTGTTTTCAATGCCATGAACCGGAATATGTAACATGGATGAGCCGCTCACTAGATGGAAGGCAACCACGAGATTGTTAGTGTCGGGTAGGTCATTATTTAGCAGTGTGTGTCTACCGGCTGATATATTGTAGCAATGTATTACCTTCCATATGGTAATGTATACCAGATGGTCGACGGATGACGTGGTGCTATCGATGTCTCCAAACGTGGTGATCCCGGCGCCCTACCTGGAGCCGGAGTCAGGCCGGCGGGGCGGGCTGCGAGCCGCGCTGCCCCGCCCTCGCGCCCCCGCGCCCCCTCCACACGCGCCTCGACTCTCCAAGCACGAAGCGCGGTCATCGCAGTCACTGCTACAACTCAAGGTGCGTGCAAGTTGAAACAACTCCATACTATCATACTCTTTTTGTAAAGTAAAAATTTAAATAGTGGTTCCTAGAGTGTCCTAGGTGAACTCCCTGGGGTCCACATTAAATCGATAGAAGTCTACGTTACCGTGATCAAAAAATGGGTCACAATTCATAAGCAAAGTCCACGAAGTAGCTTCGATAATGAAGTAACAAAAAAAAAAAGATATACACCAATGTGATTAACTTATTTTAGGAGCTCCACCCATTTGCTAAGATGGCTATTACAGCGCCAGCAGACGACCCAGCTCTTAAAGCGGCGCTTGCGCACTACAGGGCTACTGGATGCCGACAAGTAAACGATAAACATAAACGTAAGTATCATCTCTTTTACAATAATTTCGAAGTTTGAATCGGGGAAAGAGTTTTATTGAGTTATGCTATTTAAAATCTAACTAATGATAATTTCATCGGATCGAGTAAGTCACATAAAACTCTTGCTCAGTTTAAAGTTATAAAGAAAGCATTATTATTATTAACTAGCAGTTTGCCCCAATTTTGCATAAGTACTACTCCCGAACTATTCTAGCATTTTCTTTTTTACGAACTTAACCATGACAATATTTTTCTTGAAGGACAAGACCGCTGTTAGTCTTAACTGCTATAGTTGGTACATTTTCTTAGAAACCATTTCCGTGACAATAAATATTAAGGAATTATCCAATTGACGCACCTGCATCTTTCAGCTCATTGTCCGATGCACAAGCCATCGGTTGTGAAAAAAGTGAAGGAACCCGAACAGGACCCGAACGAGAAATCGAATGATAACGAACCCCTGGACCCATTGGCTCCGGAGAACCATCAACAACTGAGCCTACTTTTTTACAGCTTCAGTAATAAGTCAGCTAACGTGCCTGACTTCTGCGTCAACCCTAGGTGAGTACCTCGGAAAGTCGCAACGATCGCTTTGGTCTACTGCTTGAAGGTACGATCTTTTTTGGTCTACTTATTATAGTAATGACAATTTTAATCTGCAACTGCAACTGTCATGCTTTGGTCTATTTTTTATTACTAGGATCCTTTTGGTCTAGATCGCTTTGGTCTACTACACTACGGTCTTTTTTGGTCTACTTATTATAGTAACGACATTTTTAATCTGCAACTGCAACAGTCATGATTTGGTCTACTACTTATTACTAGGATCCTTTTGGTCTACTGCTTCAAGCTGGACCGTAGCTTTCGGTCTTCTGACTACTACCCTAAAAGCCCTACCCATGAATTGTTTTGGTCTACTGCCTTTTAATTACAGTTCTTTAGGTCTACTACCTTTCTAACTATGATATTTTTAATCTGCTGCCTTATTTATAGCTATCAGCTATCTGAAATTAAGGGTTTCACGTATCAATATGAAAATGAATTCTGCTGTTAAGTATTAAGGTTCATTATCCCGTGTCGTTACTTAGGATAGTGACGATGGAAATGTACGGCGAGCTGGACATATCGTTGGGAGCATTCCTCGACAATTATTGTTTCAACAACGACTACAAGTGTACGTCGCCAAACTGCAACGTGCCGATGAACCAACATGTGAGAAGGTTCGTTATTTTACTTTCATTCATCATCAACAGTGGCAGTTCATTGCTGGACCATAGTCCAGGTTCATAAACCATAAGAGGGTTTGCCATTATCTTCACATTACAACTCCACATTACGGTCACTCGATTCCTTTTTAACTTAACCTTAACTCAAAGACAAAGTCATTTATTTCAATTAGGCCAGAATGGCACTTTTGAACGTCAACAAAAAGAAAATTAAAAGTGAAGCTATTTGCTCATTCCAAGGTGTAGATTCCTATGGAGAAGAACGAGCAAGAAACTCCAGAGGTTACTCTTTTTCAATCAGGTTCACAATACAATTTACTAGTTACATAGTTTTGCTGTTTGGATTGTGCGAGAACAATGTAACACTAAAATTCAGTCAAAGTGATCAAAAAAGAAAATAACCTTAAGGAAAATAATACAGTCTGGAGCTGACCAGTCCCAGTTGACGGCGCCCGTCAACTTTTCTACTTAAGTCTCAAATCACACTTGGGAGGCTTCTCCCATTCTCCGACACAGATTTAAAAAAAGCTGTAGTTTTTAACGTATCTATTATAAACCCAGGTTCGTGCATGGAGATGTGTGTATTACAATCACATGTAATACTATTGGACATAGCAATGTCGACAAAACCAAAGAGGAATCGAGCAAGCAGGTATGTACTGTAGTCGTCTGAATATTTTGTTTAATAAATATTATTTTTTTATTCAACTTTATTCTTTTACATTAAATATTATATTTTGGAAACAATATACTTATTTTATTCATAAAAAACACTGAAACTAATTGGATGGTACCTGATTAAGGCCTCGGTGGTACTTCAGCGGAGTCATGGCGGTCTAAACCGCGAGATATTTTATTTTATTGTATAAAAATCAGTCAACTTAGTTAGCCTTTGTATTAGGTAGCTTGCATTCAGCTTTATATTTTAGAAAATGAACCGGTAAATAAGAAAGGCTTAAAGAATATTTTTTATGTTAAAATGGTTTTAATGAGCTCAATTCTACCAATCAAGCGCTTTCATTCGAAGTTCAATAGTTGTGGAAAAATAGCTTATATCGTATGGTCATAAAAATTAAGAATTGAGATCTATATATCGTTAGGGAGGACAAAAACAGGGTAATAAATAAAACTGTTTAAAAACCGCCATAGTTGCGCCCTAGTGGCTTTACTTTATGTTTCGAAAATTATACTAAGGTTAAATCGTTCTACTGCAATAGAATATCGCTGTAAAATTCGCTCTATGTACCTATGTAGGTGAGCATAGAATATATTGTGTGTAGGTAACGTTCTGGTCCCGCTGCGAGGCGTGCGGCTGGGGCGGCGGCGGCGCGGGCGCGCGGCGGCTGTCTGGGCGCGCGCTGTGCGTGTCGCTGGCCGTGTACGTGCGCGCGCGCGTGGCCGCCCCGCGCTACGTGCGCGCGCACTGCTCGCACCCGCTGCACGCGCACACGCACGCCTTCGTGCGGGACCTCACCACGGTCTGCTTCCGGTACTTATACTATTAATCTTTATTAATCTAGCAAACATCGGTCAAGAAACAAACAGAATCTGTGGGCCTACAATATTACTCCGAAATTTCATTTCGTTATCAAAAGAAATACGAACGTAAATCTTAGTTTCTGATCCTACTCTGTAACATTTTCAAACGCATACGAAGGATTTAAAAATCGAATTGAATAAAAAGATTAGGTTACTGTCTGGCACGAAATTTCGTTTCGAAGAATTAGGTATATCTAGTAAACCCCAAACCATATACCTAAGCACAATTTCATATTGTATTCTGTTTCTTTTATGACAATAAATATTCCTCTTTCAACACAATTGTATGTTAATACAAACAAAGTGAAATATTACAGGTACAGCAAGATAACCCCATACGAGATTCAATTCCCGCCGGACATGATCTCAATAAACTACGACACGAAACAAATGAGGGACAATCTCATCGCACAACTCAACGAACTTGTACAAAAAGGTAACAATAGCTTATAATGCTCAATTAAAAAGAAATCGAAGCGAGACCACGTTCGATGCTCTGATTGGCCGGCTCCAATGAACCAACCAATCAGAGTGCTGAACGCGGTCTCGTTTTGACTACTTTAAACGTAAAACAAACTCTTAGTTAGTTCTCAGTTACTGGGATTGAAGGTTTCATCTCAAGTGTACCAATGTATTATTAAAGTTATCGACTTTCGTAATTCTCAGAAATAGCATTGAATTATAGACTCTAAAGCATGATGATTACGGCGCGTCGCGTTGCGCTCGCGCCTCAAATAGCCACCAGACCACTACGGATGGGGCCGAACAGCAGCTGTAGCCAAATGCCATTTAGCGCTTGTCTACATGTAGAATAGAAAACCAAATTATATGGGATTGACGTAAATTTTGACACTTGTCAGTGTCATCCCCATACATTTTGATTTCTACTCTCTCTGTAGACAAGCGCTAAAGTGGCGTTTGGCTAAAGGCCCAGGGCTGATGCCGATAAGGGGCTCCGGCTCGAAGTGCAGGAGTAGGAACGGGGTAGTTTTTAGTCAGTAAGAGTCTGACACTCCCACCTGCCTCTCCCAGGCGGGAGCAGTCATTCGATGATTTTCCCCCCTTAAAATAGAGCATGATGATAGAAATGTATTTACTATATCATCCAGAATGAGACAGCTCGTTTGTCATATGGTTTTATGTATTCTTGTTACCATTTTTAACCAGTTCCTTTTGCATGTAGTCACAGCATCTGAAACATATTTTCTTCAGGGCATGAGACCTTCAGCGGTCTATCAGAGGGTGAGGCGGAGAAAGATTACCAGGCCTTCAAACAGCACATGGAACAGATCCACCTGGCATTGACTTCCACCAGCCTACAGGAACATAATACTACCGCTGGTAACTATGGCTGCAATATTTATGGAAGCCATCATCATTAAAAATAAAAATTCAAAATTCACTTTTTTGTTGCTGAACTTTTAGACAGAATTCATCAAAAACAGCTCACCATTTTAGGGCACTTTAACTGTAATAACATGTTAATAAGACATGAACATTAATTTTAATTTATTTCATATATTTATTTAAAATGTCCTGTCTGACTTTAACTTCATGATCTATCTCTGAAACAGAATTCATCAAAATCACTTCACCCGTTTTAAATGTATGAGCGATATAAAAATTAAATGTCATTAATTTGATATCGTTATTATGATTAAAGCCGTGGTGCGCAGTCTGTGGAGTGTCTCTGACCGTATTATCTCTGGCGAGAAGATGCTCAGAGAGGCTCAGGATAAGTGGTCCAGTCCTCCAACGAAGAATAAGGCTCAACCTGAAAATACAGGTAACGATTTTCTTATGATGTATGTATGTGTGTGTGTGTGTATGAAAGAGAGAGAGAGAGAGAGGAAAAGAGAAAGAGAGATAGAAACTTTAATAAAAAGGAATTGTTACCGTTTCTAAATCTATTCGTGTTGCCAATCCAAGTTAATTTACTACTACATTTCTTTATTTTATTTACAGTTGAAGAAAAATCGGAATTGGAAGATTCTTCAGGCGATGACAGCAGTAAGGACAATTTAGGTATTTATGACTGTGTTCGCCAATCACCCCTAAACTGTCACTTAACTAAAAGTCACTTGGCGTGACGTAGCACGTAAATTAACCGTTGACTTGTACTTATCATCATCATCCTCTCCATCAGACTTATCATCTCCATCAGACCTCTTACCCAGCAGTCGCACTTGCGACCACTTGGCCAACGAGGCAGTCTGCTTTAAAGATATTAGCTAAGATATGTTATTGTTAAATCGTGTTTTATTTTATTCCAGGTACAACATACGTGTTTGCAGATAAGGAAACTGACAAGGAACATACAGGTAAACAGATATGATTATATGAGAATATTAGGTATTTATTTATTGTTGTCGTTGACGAGAAACTCGACTAGCTTCAAGCCATTCTACAGGCTCATATTTGTGTGTCACAGAATGCTGTTCATGAATAATTATGATCTTTCTATATAAAATAATGCTATATTTCCGATACTGGCTTCTCCAGCTTGGAATTCGGAAAATTCTTCTTTTTCTGTTTTTTTTTATAATGTTAGAATTATAACTTTTTTGACATTGAGCATACTGATCACCTGGTGGAAAGGGAGCCTGCTCGTTTGCCGACATATCCCATAGAGAAAAACATGTTTGAAATAGCTACCTTCATTTTGTAGTTCTTTTTCTTATGACGTCATACTCATTATAATCTAGGTACAGAAGAAGACGAAGAGAAAGGCGACAAGAAGACTGTCCGGCAAATACTGTCTCAACTATTGTCTAACAACCAACCAGCTAACCAGGTACGTGTGAGTCATTTTGTACCATAACACTATTGTAACAAAGCTGAAATTGCTTTGAAAGTCTATTTATGATCAATTTTTTTTTGTTGACATGATTTGAATCGTAACTGTGTTGTATTAGCCTAAATTTCTTTGAACTTATTCCGGTTTTGATGACAATATTTGACCCATAATGGTCTTGTATTAAGATTTAAATTGCTTTGTAAGTAAAGTCTGTTCCACGATCAAATGCTACGTTGACACGTTTTGGACCATAACTCTATTGAATTAAAACTCAATTAACCATAGGGGATTATAAAGACTGTAACCAATTTCCATCTATTTGCGTGTATATTTCTTTTTTGTCGGTGTGATACCAGGTTTCAAGAATAGGGTAGTTACCAGGCTATGGAAATTAAAAATCTAATTAGTCCGTCAGTTAGACAATGAAAAAATATTAGACACGTATTTTTTATTTTCTCGTAGAAAGTTACAATACTTAGATAAAGTGGCGTTAAGTTTAGGAGTGGGAGGTCGTTACGTCACAGCGTGCTACAAAACATAACACGTTGTGACGTCACACGATATTTTAAATCAATATATCGTCGAAAGTATTTAATTTTGAGAGAAAAGAAAAAATACGTGTCTAATGTTTTTAATTAATGTACCAGACGGACATTAAAATAAAATTTAGGAAACTAGCCAATAGGCTAGTTTCCGAGCGATAACGATAACGATAGGATAGTTAACGAGCAATAGCTCGTAATGCCGAGTAATGATCGGTCGATTATACAATCGATTTTATTCGCGTACAAGTAGTACATACTAGTTACAACCACCATCATGGGATGGTGGCGGTTGTAAAAAAAGTTGATTATATTTTTGGTCATTAAGTACCTTTTTTTGAGGGGGGAAAAATCATCGAATGTCTTCTCACGCCCGGGTTGGCGCTGTATCGGGCATCAGCCAAGCCCTATTGGGCCTCATCTAGGACCTAAACAAACCAACGGGGCAAGCTAAATAAAACCGTTCAATTACAAGTAGTTTATGATGTCGGTAACGGCGTGTATATGTCCAGAGCGGTATGATCCTGTGGAGCGGCGTGGTGCCGGTGGTGGTGCAGGCGGGCGACCTCGGCTCCGTCATCGCCGCCACGCTCGCCTCCGTCACCTACCGGCGGACCCGCGCCGCGCAGCGACACACGTAATCATTAACAATTATACTTCTTCAACACTAAATTAACTCAAATCTTAAAGTAAGTTTCACACGTTTTATGGAATAAGTGAAACTGATCACCTGATGGTAGGCAGTCAGCGTCGCCCTTGGATACCCTCAGAACCAGAGGAGTCACTTGTTGTTGTTGGTGGGGAGAAAGGCATTGGTTCTTCGGTAACCTTCATCAAGCTTTCTTGTGCATACTGCTAAGTAGTGGAATTCTTTGCCATAGTCTGTATTTCCTGAAGGGTCATAGTCTGTATTTTCTTATGAATGTCTTCAAGCCTTGAATGTATATGTTGCTTATGGGTCGACATGCTCCATTGTTGATCGCATCATCGCTTACCACCAGGCGAGATAGTGGACAAACGGCGACCCACCAAATATAGAAAAAAACTTCATTAACGTGGTGAAAAGCAAATCTTGGGAGGAGATCTATTCAATTTTGATTGGCAGTTTTAATTAAAGCCAGTCCTGAGGCATAGATCTCCCGCGTGAAATTCACTTATATTAACTTCTGTATTTTGTTATGACTAAAGAATAAAGATACTATACAAAACGTATCAATAACCAATAAACAAGCAAATTAAGCTGGATATTTCACTTAAAACCTATTTTTTGACTATCTAGCACACAAACGGAGCAGGAAGAAAATGAGAACACCAGCTCTACTGGCAAGGACAAGGCGGACGGCGACAAATCGAAACTAAAGTCTAACGACCATGTGGAAGTGTTACTAAAGGTATGTAACACAGTATAAAAATATACTGCCTCGTTGGCCGAGTATTACTGGGTTTTTATGAAATTCTCAGTAGTAGCACGGAGTCTAGAATTGTGCCCGGTATATGGCAATAGGATCACCCCCTATTACATGGGACTCATATCATAAATAGTGAAAAGTGGGTGTTACATTGTACAGTGACAGTAAGTGCCGTAATGTGCACCTCTACCTACCCCTTCGGGGATAAAAGGCGTGATGTTATGTTATGTGTTATAAAAAATAAAGTGTTCTTAGGTATTTTTAACTGTGAAATATTCTTTAGTTTTATGTAATATTTATAGATTTATAGATCTTTATTAACGTATGATTTTTGCTGCATTGTGGCCGGTGCTAAACAGATGAGGGTTTTCTTTTAATTATATTACAGGGCTGTAGTTTACATTGTTTGAGACTAACTAAGAACATACTGAGCAAAACACAGCGTCCCAGGGAGATGTCTTCGATTTTCCACTAAGAAATTAATAGGCTGCCGCGCAACGTGTCGCGGGTTCGATTCCCGCACGGAACAACTCTTTGTGAGATCCACAGATTGTTGTTTCGGGTCTGGGTGTCATGTGTATGTGAACTTGTATGTTTGTAAACGCACCCACGACACAGGAGAAAATCCTAGTGTGGGGCAACGTTCTTTTAAGAAAAAAAAGAAGATATTATTTGGAGAAACTTTAGTTTGAGGAGTTAATATTTGGCTTTTCGTCTATCATCCCAAAGCGTAGATTTTAGTTCATTAACTTTTTTTTTGCTTAGAAGAACAAACAGATTGCCTTGCAATTGCAAAAATTGTGCTATGTTTTAAACCAATAAGCCACTGGATTGATCTGCCTGCAGACGGAGTTTAAAATTTTAATTAATGTGTCCAGGACGGGTTAGTATGTCGCGTGTACTACGCGGCCCAGTTCCAACGCCTGCGCCACATGGTGCTCCGCCCCCTGAGCGAGCCGACCGAAGCCCCCGACACCGCGCACGCGCCCTGCCCCGGACAGCGCCCCTCCTGCGCCTGCTATGAAGACAGCAAGGACCGCGCCGACAGTAACCATACAACATTATTTACTTACAATACTATCTTACTGACATCTTACTGTCAAGCACAAAATAACAATTAGTATCGACAGCGTTCAGCGCTCTTATTGGCCGGATCCAGTGAACAAACTAATCCGAGCGTCGAACGCGCTCGATACTATTACGTTACGAATGCTATAGTTATTCGTGCTTGGCGCTATTTCTTCCTATATTAATATTAATTCCTAAATAAGAAACCCCTAAACTAAGGCAGGTGCCGCAGAGGACTTAACGACGACTCGACTCGACGTGCAGGAGTAGGAACGGGGTTTTTAGTCAGTAAGAGTCTGACACTCCCTCCCGCCTCACCCAGGCGGGAGCAGTCATTCGATGATTTCCCCCCCTTAACTCTTTGAGTACCGTCATTATAAACACAATTAAAGAACAATAGGTTGCGGTCACCGGTGTCCTCGCGGTGTTTGACTGTTTAAAAAAAAACTAAGGCAGTTGACACTTATTTGCATTTTGTTTTCATGAATCTATAAGTGACACCTAACAGTAAAAGAAATAGTTCAGTTTAGATGCTAACTCCTAAACCCTTGGTATCACGAAATGATATCTCCAAAATCACTTCAATAGTTTTATAAATATGATGTCTACAGAGTATAAGTGTTTACGTGGTGTTTGTTACAGAGGGTCTGTGTGAGATAGAGGAGGGCTTCATCCGCTCCCTCGCACACTGCGTGCCCTGGGCCGCCAGGGGAGGGAAGTCTGGCTCCACCTTCTGTAAGACTAAAGGTAACAACTTTCCACGTATTTACATTCAAAATTTTTAGTTACATCAATGTTTTAGTTAATAATTAGGAATGTGGTTATAATTCCCTATGGCGTATTTTAATTCCTTTTTTTGTTTCAATATACATTTTTATGATGATTACTTTTTTCGTGGGTATTTGTTAGTTTTTTTTTTCTGTCGACACCGCCAACGGTATTTGCGCCTATTTTAATCTAGCTTCACTTTCATTCCAGTTCTCGCTTATATACCTCTCGCACTTTTATGATGCTTCATACTGTATCTTTCTTTTATACATCTTCTTTCATTTTCTTAGCGATTGGGACTCCCACTTCCCTACTTCTACTTTTGCCTTATTTTTATTCTTTTTATTAGTTTTAGGGTAATAAGGAAGGTTGCTTATTTTTATACTTATACAATATTTCGATTTCTTAATGCTATTGTTTCTTACTCTATTACATTATTGTTTGGACTTATTCTATTACATAGTTCTTATTCTATTTATCTATTTATTTGTTTCATACTTCATTTGGCTATCCTTATTCTAATGCTTGCTTATTATTACTCGGTATTTGTTAGTTTGACAATGTTTTATCAATGGGTCATAATTAACATTCGCCAATTGTACGTTTACATACATTTTTATGAAATAATTTATATTTTTATCCTTACAGATGACAGGTACGTGCTGAAAGAGATGACGAAGCCCGAATGGCAACAGTTCTTGGACTTCGCTCCGCATTACTTCGCCTACGTCACACATTGTCGACAGAACAAGCTGCCTAGCTTACTCGGTGAGTGAATTAGTTTCACGGTGATTGAAATACCTTTGTAAATAATATTAAGACAAAAATCGGTTATATACAAGCAAGCAAAGTTTGCAAGCGAAATATTTTATTAATATTTTAACTGCCTCTTTGGCTGAGTGGTCGCAAGTGTGACTGCTGGGCAAGGGGTCTTGAGTTCGATTCCCGGGTCTGGCAAAGTATTGCTGGGTTTTTAAATAAATCTCAGTAGTTGCACGGGGTCTGGAATTGTGCCCGGTATAATGGCATTAGGTTCACTCCCTATTACATGAGACTTATAACATAAATAGTGAAAAGTGGGCGTTACATTGTGCCTACCCCGTCTTCACCTGAGCGTACGGCGCGTCGCGTTCCGCGCGCGCCTCAAAGAGCCATCAGACCACCACAGATGGGGCCCAATAGGACCGATGCCGATACGGAGTCGCGGAGAACCTAACGGGTAACCGGGGCTCCGGCTCGACGTGCAGGAGAAGGAACGGGGTGGTTTTTAGTCAGTAAGAGTCTGACACTCCCTTCCGCCTCACCCAGGCGGGAGCAGTCATTTGATGATTTTACCCCCTTGAAAAAAACCCGCCTTCACCTGTGCCTCCTACCCCTTCGGGGATAAAAGGCGTGATGTTGTATGTATGGTATGTATTATATAAAAGTGCGTGTATGACGTCCGGCCCCCGCAGCGCGCATCCTGGGCGTGTTCGGCGTGGGCGGCGCGGGCTGCGGCGTGCTGGTGCTGGAGCACGTGTGGTACGGCGCGGGCGGCGCGCGGTTCGACCTCAAGGGCTCCTCGCGCCACCGCCTCACGCCCGACACCACGCCGCTCGCCGTGCTCATGGACGAGAACCTCCTCAACTGTACGGACACAGCTTCATACTACACTATTTTCAAATCTAACTATAATCCCCAAATTGTTTTCCAAGTATGAAGATTATGATAACACCCTTTCTTATTAGAGAAGAGAGACCTTCATTAAAAAAATTCAAATAACTTTTCAAATCAAACTTCAATCCCCAAGCCGTTTGGTGTGCGTTACCCAGGCCAGATGTTGTCGAAAATGGTCATTTCAATCTTATAGATATTTAGTTGTAAGGCTTCTGTAATTGTTGCGCACATTTTTAAATTTGTTGCGCTTATAGTGTTTAATTATTTCACAAAAACATTTCCTGCTGGGGTAACGTTACCCCAGCCAGACCATTTTCTTTCTAATGGGAATATTTAAATAATTACTTAGGTACTTAGATACTAACCTATAATGCGTCAAGTGTGTCTTTGCATTGTTCTCACATATACGTACAGTATTGGAATATGTAACAGAGACATTGTAGAACATATTTTTTTAAGAAGAGTAACGAATGGAGTTTCTTGCTTGTTCTTCTCTATTCGAATCTACATTTTGGAATGAGCACCTAGCTTCACATAGCTTCACTGACGTACTGACTGACAGACTATTATTTATTTTGTAATTGTTGACGTTTCAAAAGTACCAAATTGAAATAAATGCTTTGACTTTGAAAAAGATCTAGCAAAACAAAAAACGTTACCCCAGCAAAATCTTAAATAACTTCGCAACCGATGAAAGAACAAATACAAAATAAGGCACAACATTCACCTTATATAGACAACTAATTTTATAGCTAGTAATTATTTAAATATTCCTATTAGAAAGAAAAAGGTCTGGCTGGGGTAACGTTACCCCAGCAGGAAATGTTTTTTGTGAAATAATTAAAAAACTATAAGCGCAACAAATTTAAAAATATGTGCGCAACAATTACAGAAGCTGCTAAACGTATTATCTATAAGCTTCAAATGACTATTTTCGACAACATCTGGCTTGGGTAACGCACACAGCCGTTTCCCAAGTGTGGAAATTATCAAACACTTTTATTCAGAAGATGATGATTAAATTACCATAATACTTTAAATTAAATTATATACATATTCCCAATAAGGACTGTAATAGACACTGACAGATCCATATAATAAGCGTCAATTGAAACTTTGAACCCATGTAGTTTTTAGTAAGTAAAATAAAAATTACAATTAAATTGTGATAAATTTTGAAATACTTCTTTTTTTGGAATTGTTTTACATGTATCATGTCATGTAATCATCTGATTAGACGAGTATTTATCCGGTTTCAGTGGCACGCCTCAGTGCTAAAGAACAAAAACAAAGATAGTTTAAGTACTTATTTTAATATGATCTATTTAATATTATCTTTTACAATTTCACAGTGCGCTGGGAGAATCCTTTATACGTACAATCGCACACCGCCCGAATGTTATTCGCGGCAGTGGAACGAGACACAGACTTCTTGTCCTCGCATACTGTCATGGACTACTCCTTGCTACTCGGCATTGACAACCACACACTCATACTGGGCATCATCGGTAAGTACTATAACATAATAATTATATTAAAAAAAGACTGCTTCGACTGCCAGGCAAGGGGTCTCGGGTTCGATTCCCGGGTCGGGCAAAGTATTACTGGGTTTTTAAAAAAATCTCAGTAGTAGCACGGAGTCTGGAATTGTGCCCGGTATATGGCAATAGGCTCACCCCCTATTACATGGGACTCATAACATAAATAGTGAAAAGTGGGTATTACATTGTACAACGGCATAATGTGCACCTCTGCCTACCCGTTTGGAAATAAAAAGGCGTGATTTTATGTTAAAAAAAGACAACATTTATAATCCCCAAGAAGAAAGACAAAGCTATATAGGTACGTGTCTCAAAATATCATATACCTACCCGGGTAGGCCCTAAAATTGTGGCGAGCTACCGAAAGACGGGCAAAGCATCAAAGCGGCAAAAGTCCCAAGAACCTCGCCAAGTTTGGGGATTATCAAAAAAATTACGTGGAAGGCCCTTGTTCAGCAATAGATGGAACGTTACAAAAAGTTACGTACCTATATCTGAATAGAAAGGAGAAGAAGAAAGATTTGATTATTTGCTTCCATTAAATAGGCTTGAAAACTACGACACTTTGAATGATTCTTCCATTAATAGTAAAGCTTACTTTTTAAAGTTTAGTAAAGCCCGCGGTATATGGCAATAGGCTGACCCCCTATTACATGGTACTCATAACATAAATAGTGAAAAGTGAGTGTTACATTGTACAGTGGCATAATGTGCACCTCTGCCTACCCCTTCAGAGATAAAGGGCGTGATGTTATGTTCTATGCCAACTTTTTAAATGTAACAATGAGCTACTTTGTATCCAAATATACTCGTCTAATTTCCTCTCTATTCGTATAAAAAACTGTAAATAAACAACTTAAACATTCGAACTTCTAAATTCATCACAACTTAATTGTAATTTTTATTTTCCAGATTACATAAGAACGTTTACATGGGACAAGAAACTGGAGCATTTGGTGAAGAAGAACTTAGGTTCTGGTCAGCCGACCGTGGTGTCTCCGGAACAATACAAGAGTCGCTTCTGCAGCGCTGCCAGGAAATACTTCCTCCAGTGTCCAGCGCACTGGGACCATCTCTACACGAATAATGACCAAAATCAATAACCAATCTGTTGTATTATAATTATTATGAAACGTATATTATTAATCAAAAATATCGTTAAGGCTGCGCGACATCGCCGCGGTTGCGCACTATGCTTATGAGGAAGAGTCCCACTGTGACTCGAAACTAGTAGAGCTTCTCTCAATATTTAAGTGAATAAACCGGTATTTTTAAATAACTGATATCTATGGATTGATCTCTATTTTTGATGACTACCTAATTGTCAAAAAGCAATCTTATTTAATAGAGTTTAGATTGAAATTGGTTCGGCTACTCGACTAGGTAAATGTTTTAAATGCTAGCTGAATCTTACTTTACAAAACTTAAAGCAAAATGATACTATCTATCCGTCTTTCATGTCACAAAGACGTAGATATATAAATATAGCTAATTTTATAAAATAGGTAAATAATAAAGGGTCACTTGAAATAATACTTTATTCGTGTACTATTTTAGTTCAATTTCCATTGCAATATTATATATTACTTTAAGAATGATATGGTCCTTGGAAGTTAAGTCTTTCTTCTGCAAGTGATCTGATTTAATTGTAAATTAATAAATATTTAACAGACCTATGTAAAAATTCAAGGTCAATGATATTATTAAAATAACTGCTGTACAAATCAATCGTGTTACATACTTACCTTTTTAATTGTGATCTTAACGTTTTTGTCACTTTTGTAAAACACTGTCCGGTCTAATTACGTCTTTGGTTCCGTCCACTCTGGGACATAGGCCTCTCCAAAAGTATGCCAATGAGCTCAATATATACCAAATTAGCTTCTGCCCGCGACTTCGTACGTGCAATCCCGGTTGTTCCCGTTCCAGTTCGTGATTTTCGGTAAATCCTTGAATAAAAATTATCCTATGTCCGTCTCCTGGTTCTAAGCTATCTACCAATTTTCAGCCAAATTTATTTACCCGTTCTTCAGTTATAAATAGTGTAACTAACATGATTTTCTTTAATTTTATAAAAAAAGATAGATAAACAAAACATTGGTTTTGTACGTGTGTTGTTAGATTTGCATTGGCAAATCTTACTAATATTATAAATGCGAAAATTTGTGTTTGTGTGTATGTTTGTTACGCAATCATGTCAAGACTGCAAATAACACATAGACTGCTTTTTATCCCACTGTAACACGGGCGAAGCTGCTGGCATAAGCTACTGCTAGTTAGATAGTTAGTTAATAATGTTTGAACCTCATTTTGTAGGGTATTTTGTAATAGAAATTTTGCTTTGGTTTTAATACTGAGACATACTAAAGTAACTAAAAATCGCGGGTTACTCACGTGAATGTACTGAGAAAAGCGGCGATGTCGTGCAGCCTGCAGTCAGCCGCACGCTGCTCCTCAAGAAGAACCCCTTCTGTGGTTCGAAACTAGTAGAGCTTTTCTCGGTCCATTCACGTGAGTAACCCGCGATTTTTAGTTTATTTTCACCTATAATAAATTTTATAAGGCCTTTAGATCGGACAGGATTATAATAAGCTATTGTAATTAATTTTACATTTGCTTCTGTATAAAATAAATCGCTGAAGGGAATTAATTGTATAAAATATAACAAATCGTACATTCCTAAGTTGTTAAACGTAATTTATACTAAAGTATTGTATTATTAAATTAATATAAATTACCTGTTGTTTCATTTGTTTCCCGTCACTTTTTTTATGGGATAAGCCGGTAAACGGGTAGATGGATCACCTGATGGTAAGTAATCGGCGTCGCCCACGGACACCCGAAAAACCAGAGGCGTTACAAGTGCGTTACCGGCCTTTTGGGAATTGAGAATTTGAGGATTGTGGCGGATTTGGGAATTGGGGAGACTGGGGAAGGGGGTAATTGGGCCTCCGGTAACCTCACTCACACGACGAAACACAACACAAGCGTTGTTTCACGTATGTTTTCTGTGAGGCCGTGTTATCACTCCGGTCGAGCCGGCCCATTTGTGCTGAAGCATGACTCTCCCACACTTAAAATAACTTGTCTCAGCCACTTCAATTCTTCAATTAATTAAACTTGACTCATAAATCAAATCTATTGATGAAAGAATACCGTACAAAAAACCTTTGAGCAGTTTTTGAGTTTATCGCGTTCGTACAGACATTGTTAACAGGGAGCCACTGGATGCAGGTCGTTTCCAACGGTAGGTAATTTTTTGACTAGGACCTCTAGTTTATTAAATAATTTCTCAATTTAGTACACAAAGGTCTCATAGACTCTGACCAGTGGATTGGTTCGTTGAAGGCGGTCAATCACAAAGAGCGCCGACCGCAGTCTCGTTTCGATCTTGTTGAACGTAAAACGACCTCGTGCTAAACTTCGAAGATTTTATTTGTGGGCCCACCTTACCTAGGGTCACTCACATCCTGTCGTGTGCGTTACCCAGGCCAGGAGGTCTACTCTGATTCGACGAAAAACGAAGTTTCGGACGAAACTTCAAAGATTTCCTACCACAATGACATATAAACGAACGAAAAAGGAATGAAACAAGCCAGAAATTAGTATGAGATGTACTGTTTGACGTCGAAATTTTCGGAACCCTACTCTAATTGTACAATCCGCACGAACGAAAATTCGAGTTTGACAGATTATTCTTCGGACGTTTAATGTCATTTCGACGAAACCAAAATAGTTATCGTTTGATTTTCGTTTGGGTTAAATTTTATTAAAAAATTAATGAAAGTAATAGCAAGTCTTCGTTTTATCACGGTTTCTTCGTGTGGGCAACACGTAGGGCACCAAAGAAACCATTTAAATGACGATATAAAATCAATGTACAGTCAGCTTAAATAGTTTGTAAACACGAACCTATATAATTTTACATGTCTATGAGAGTTAGTAACATTTAGGGTAATCAAATACTTATTTGAATACCTTATGTTTTGTACATAAATGTTTCATGTATAATGTTTTATTTTAAAACTCATAATACCACTAGAAAAATAAACTTGAGTATTGCTAGTACATAGTTTCGCTTTTCTTTCACATCTATTAATGTAACAACATTTATAGATAAGATAAATTCTTTCAAAAATATATTGTTAACCATCATAACTTGAAATAATTTATTGTCTTCAAATTCTCATGTAGACATTTAAAAATTTTAACTGACTGTACTAATGTAATACAAATAAATTTGGTTGTCATTATTTTATAAATAAATGTCAATAAATGACAAAGCCAATATTCTTAAACTTTTTAACTTGGTCGTATAATAAATCTTTAAAAGGAGGTTTTTATCCCGTTTACGATTTTCCATCTTAAACATTAATATTATTAAAAGCTTATTCATGATTTTCTTGATGATTATGTGTGCTAAGCTATGAAATTATCATTTTAGTTATATAATTACTTAAAATAATATTTTATTTTTAATTTCGAATCTAAACCTTTTTATTGCCTATTTATTTATTTTCACTTCATTCGTTCATTGTAGAATTCATTCGTTCACGAAAGTTGTCTATGGTTCCGAAAATGTTGTTTGCGGCCGCAAATCAAACGAAACTTCGCATTCGAGAACCGGAGTAGACCTCCAGATGTTGTCGAAAATGGTCATTTGAATCTTATAGATAATTAGTTTTGCAGCTTCTGTAATTGTTGCGCACATTTTTAAATTTATTGTGCTTATAGTTTTTTAATTATTTCACAAAAACATTTCCTGCTGGGGTAACGTTACCCCAGCCAGACTTTTTCTTTCTAATTGGAATATTTAAATACTTACAGGATACTAATGAAACTTCACATACATTTGAAGGCAGTTACAAGCTTTAAAATAACGTTTTAAAGTCTTTAGCGCACTTATTGAGAGTGCTGGGACCAATTGAAGTGTTTTTCTATTTAATGAAATAACCTTGAAGCTATGTATTATTTTTTTATTGCAGAACAAATTTAAACTAATTCCTTAGAACCCGTGTACAAAATATGACAAGAATCCGCTTAACCATTTCAAAGATCTAGCAAAACCAAAAACGTTACCCCAGCAAAATCTCGAATAACTTCGCAACCGATGAAAGAACAAATACAAAATAAGGTACATTTACTTCATCTAGACAACTAATTTTATAGCAAGTAATTATTTAAATATTCCCATTAAAAAGAAAATAATCCGGCTGGGGTAACGTTACCCCAGCAGGAAATATTTTGTGAAATAATTAAAAAACTATAAGCGCAAAAAATTTAACAATGTGCGCAACAATTACAGAAGCTGCAATACTAATTATCTATAAGATTCAAATGACCATTTTCGACAACATCTGGCCTGGGTAACGCACACCATCCTGTCCATTAAGTAGAAAATATTCTTTTCAGAGCGTGGCTAACCAGGGGGCATTGAAAATTTTATTTTTTGGCTAGGACCTCTAGTTTTTGGGATATTTTCGATTTTAGTACACAACGGTCCTCGTGGCCCTCGCTCACGGCGACTTTACCGCGATGTGGTCGCGCGTCCACTAGAAGCGCGACAGCATCGCTATTAAGGTGTGCTACTTTTGAATGCACTTCGCGACTATCAATGCGGACGTGCGACAGCATCGTAACAAAAAGACACCGTGGACGAGAGCCCTAAGACATGAACATCACAGGTATCACGGATGCTTAGCAGACGATACAACAAATTGCCATCATTTTCTGGGACTCTTCCTCCAGTGCTCCCCACAAACGATAACGCAATTAAACAGTTTTTCTTTAGGTCTACAACAATAATTAAAGGGTAAAGGAGAAATAAAAACCACAGATTAAAATAATGAATCACAGTTTAATGTACAATAACATTTGTTGAACAAGCACAAATTAGTTTTTAATTATTTAGAGAACATCGGACTTTACACGAAACACATATATCTACATATAATTAAGATATGAAGTCATCTGATGGCAGGAAAACATTCATACTGATATATATCAAGCTGTCTGTCTACCATGTAAATTAATACAGCCTCAATGGCACACAAAAATATATTTTGTTCGTATTTACAATTTCGCAAAGTTCCATTTAACATACGTCTTACAATATAATATTAATCAAGTATTCGACATCAATTCGTAGCAAAATAAAGCATTTTGGAAATTTAATTTTATACACATTTTCTTTGAAGTATTTAGTCTGATCTCACTGCAATTTTACAAATATGATACTAGGCTGGAATTGAAGATAATGTAGAGTTGATAAGGTATATGATAATGAAGGAATGTTAGCTTAAACCAGATTCATGAAACATGGTTAACTTGAAACAACAGTCCCTTATGCCTTAAAATATCTTAGGTTGATTTTAGCTTAGCTGACACGTAATTGGGATGGGCATATATCGTACATGAAATATATCAAATGATCCGTCATTTTCACAATCAGCAACTCGAATCAGATATTTGTGAAACTGTTGATTTTAAATACAATACAAAATATTGTTACGTTTTGTTTAATGGCATACGACATATTTGATAAAAATTAATACAACTTAATTTGTATATTACTATCATAATTTTGATTTATAAGAAGATTCGGAATTTTATGATTTAAAAAAAATATTGTTCAATTAATTATCATTAAATTCACAGATTTATAAAATACGAAAAACTTGTTTGTGTCGTTTATCTATTAAAATTGAGTTCCGCTAATTCTATTGTTTGATTATACATCAATATAAACAAAGATATACTTGTATTTAGAATGTGTCTCAAGAACGGCTGGATCAATTTGGATAAAATCTTTGTATTGTAACTTTCGTGAGACATACTAAATAAATTATTATGTTTTCGGCTTACTCACGTAATAATTTGACGGATTAGTTTCATAGCAGCGCTACAGTCGCCGCGTCGCAGGTCGCGGAATGGTGCTCATGAATATGAGCCTCTAGCATGGCTAGAAACTAGTCGAGTTCCTCGTCAAATTATTACGTGAGTAAGCCGAAAACATAATAATTTATTTGGATAATATGTTTACGAACATTCGTTAAATTGCAAAGAAATTTTTTATAATAATATTATAAATCGGAAAGTGAGTTTGTTTGTTTGTTTGTTTGTTCCGCTTTCACGCCGTAACTACTAAACCGATTGCTTTGAATTTTTGCAGACGTAAAGTTCGAAGTCCGGATTAAATAATAGCGTACTTTTTATCCCGGAAAAAAATTATATTCCCGAGGGAAAACAAAAGTTTTGGTATAGATGGCGCTTTGTGTATTGGTATATATCACATAGGCTACTTTTTATCCTTTTGTGACGCGAGCGAAGCCGCGGGTAAAAGCTAGTTTTTTATAAAGGTATAAATATCCAACATTTAATGAAAATAAAAAAACAGGGACTTTAGTACATAAGTATGTATTACAATACAATCTTAATAAAAAAAAAACAGATCCACTGTCTTTGATTTTACGTTTGAAGAAGAATTTTTGTAAAAAAATCAACTTTAAAAGTGCCTAACTTGACTTACTATATTGAGAGACATTTCAACTTTGATTTTAAAATTACAATAGACCAGTAATGGCTACTTAGCATCATTAATATGAAAATTGAACTAATTTTCTATACGGCGGCAGAAAATTGCTCACTAGGTGTCGCTAGTATAGGAACCTGTTGGTCCAATAAACAATTAGCTGGTAGTTTGACAATTAGTGATCAATTTGACAACGGAGTCAAATTGATTGTCTAATTTTTGACAACTGCAGTGGATTGGACAAAGGGACCTCGTTATAGCGGTATCTAATGAACAAAACAAAAGCCGATGTGTTTTGAAAGGAACCAGTAACAAATAACTCTTGCGACAGCCTTAAATATAAACACATTACTGACTGACTGACTGATCATACTAGTGTCGATGATAAACCATGACATAAGACCGGTATTATACAGCGGAGATCAGAGGATCATTCTTACTCTTGAATCCAATTCCGATCGATGGACATTGATATTATGGAATTGCAACACTAGCGCCCAATGCATCCGTATTGCGTGGATATTGAATAAACTAAATGGTATTGAGTTTGGTCTTGTATTCCGCACTCTGAATTACTATTTCAATAGTTACAATTGGAGTAGTATAGTGTATAATAATTATTGAGATTTTATTAAATTGATATTGAGATTAGTTTCAAGAGTAAGCGCCTTGTTCTCAAGTACAGTGAAAAAGGGACGCAAATACATTTAACCGATATGTGCATCTCTTTCTAACTGTGCTTGAGCGATTGAGTGATCTCTGCTCTCGTTCTATAATACAGGCCCAAGAACCTGTTTTACCACTTATTATTAACTAGCGACCCGGCCCGGCTTCGCACGCAATATGCAAGTAGGTATTATACATATAAACCATCCTTAAGAATCACTCTATCTATTAAAGAAAACCGCATCAAAATCTGTTGCATAATTTTAAAGATCTAAGCATACATAGGGACAGACAGACGGCGGATAGCGACTTTGTTTTATACTATGTAGTGATTTTCTTTCAGCTTCATCAACAGCCTGCCTAGCCACAGCTAATCAAACGCCTCTTCTAGCACGTGGAAGGTCTGAGCATTAATCACCACGCTTGTTCAATGCGGGTTGACATCTTTCAGCTTTACAGATTCATATTATATAGAAGATAATCCACTCACTAGACTCATTAGGCATTTAATGCGCTGTAAAGTTAGTCGCATCAAATGCGGGACAGTTTCGAGTTATTGGAACTAGGGGTATTCTACACTGACACCGCTCATCTCAAGTATCAACAGCCGTCCCAACAGTGCCTTTAGCCAAACGCCACTTTAGCGCTTGTCCACAGAGAGTAGAAAACAAAATGTATGGGGATGACACTGACAAGTGTCAAATTTTACGTCAATCCCATATAATTTGGTTTTCTATTCTACATGTAGACAAGCGCTAAATGGCATTTGGCTACAGCTGCTGGATCGACCTCCGATCCCTAATCCATTAATTAAACCAATAGAAACTTAATGATAAGTGGTAAAACAAGTCTTAAGATTAAGATTTTATGGTCCAAATTGCAATCCCAGTTTTACAATCTCCATACAAGTTTCTGATATTGATCTGAGATTTTGTATCGCAATTTCGACTTTAAAATCATATGGTTTATAATCTAAAATCTATTACTGATTGACACCAAAACCTTTGGTTTTAAAAATTGGATATATATAGAATAAAATGGAAGAAGTAGTAATACTATTATTTATATAAAATATATAATTTACCAAGGAGCCTTACTATTTCATCGTGCATTCTGATTGGATGTTGAAACTCATTACAAATGATACTTTTTACTTTCTAAGATTATTTAGACACTACTTCCATACGGTGAACGAAACCATCTACCTAATCTTTATATAGTTTAGACGAATAATTTTTATTTTAATGTCCGTCTGATAGATTATTTTAAACCATTAGACACGTATTTTTTATTTTCAGAGACAAATACTTTTGACGATATATTGATTTGAAATATCGCGTGACGACATTTCTAGGTGCGTTATATACTTAGAAATGACGTAGCTAGCATCCACTGCAAACTTGATTCGTTTTGTCTATGTATTAAATAACAAATACGAATCTAATATTTTTCATTACCTACTAGGTAATTTCATTACTGACGAAGTATGTAAATAGATTCTTAATTTTCATACTCCCCATTATCATCTCTATTTCTAATTATAAGTTTGTAATCGCCAACCCGCATTGCGCAAGCGTGGACATTAATGCTTATTCTTTGTGATTGATTACTCGATCAACGAGGTAGTCATTACGTACTAAATATTATTGTTTTACTGTCATAGTTTCTATACAAGCCACGAGATGTCACTGACCTCAATTTTTAGAGATTCTAATCCAATCAAAATGTACCATGATAATATTATATAGAGATAATGTAGAATTACTGATATAAAATAACATCACGTCTTTATTAAAAAGGGGTAGGTAGAGAAGATGATTTGTTAAACATTTTAACATTAAAAACTATTCAGTTTATTTTGGTGAATAATTTTCAAATCGAATTAAACAATTACTCTAGCAATAGCTAGACTATAAGGGATAGTTATAAAGACTAACTACTCCAAACCTCGGTGTTGGAATTTCAACTTTATACTTTTGATATAAAGTCGAAATTACATTGACAAAATCAGAAAGATTTGGATATTCGCCTAACCTGGATTCTTCTTCGTAAAACTTTGAGATTCATTTGACGTAACAGTATAAATATAAAATTAAATCGTACTTAGTACTTATATTATAAAAGTAAGATTTTATTGTTCACACATAAATTGCGAAACTCTACTATTATTGAACGTTTACTTTGTAAAGAGTAACACAGTATACTTTTTATCCCGATACTAGAGATAAGAATCGCGCCAGGGACCTATTTTATATAGGATAACCCGGTAAGCGAGCTGACGGATCACCTGATGGTAAGCAATCGGCGTAGCCCATGGACATCCGAAACAACAGAGACGTTACAAGTGCGTTATCGATCTCTTGGGGATTAACTATTTGAGGATTGTTGGGGATTCAGGGATGATATATATAATTGTAATCAACTGCAATTATAGGTCCTGATTTGGCTTAAAACTAGTCGAGCTGCCTAGTCCGACAGTAAGCCGTGCAACTGAACTAATATGTCCACAATAATTATAATAAAACAAACTTTGCCGGAGGCCCAATTCCCCCCCCCCCCCCCCCAGTCTCCCCAATCCTCGTATCTTCCAAAATCCCCAAATTCGCAATACCCAAAGGGCTTCTAACGCACTTGTAACACCTTGGTGTTCCAGGTGTCCATGGGCGACGCTGATTGCTTACCATCAACTGATCCGTCTGCTCGTATAACGGCTTATGCCATAAAAAAAGAAAAAAATCTACTACCTGTTACTATCCACCCTTTAACATAAATAAAGTCGTGATGTTAAATTATTATAGTAATGCATTACATGTTATTTCCTACCACAGTGGTCCGTCTCTATCGGGTGGCGAGGTGAGGGGGGGGGGGGGGTGGAAGATCTGCATCATGTCGGGTCCAGGGAAGAACTGAGTGTCTTTAGCTGGTCTAGTCCGGACAGGAGCTCTCTGTAAACAAAGATACATATGTAATTAGGCATCTAACGTTCAAATACTGAAGGCCTATTGTACTGAAATATCGTCTATCTCAGTCATCTTAAAACCAACTAGCTTCTGCCCGCGACTTCGTACGCGCAATCCCGTTTTCTCACGTTCCCGTAGGATTCTCAGGACTTTTTCTGTCTTAAGAACCTTTTTCTAATAATAACAAATACAACAAAAAAAGAATTAGTGAAATCGGTCCATTCGTTCGTCGAGTTTGTTCGTTTGTTTTAACACACTAATCCCCGAAACCACTGGTCTAATTTGAATAATTCTTTTTGTGTTGGATAGTACATTTATCAAAGAAGGCTATAGGCTATAAGACATAACGCTAGGTTGAATAAGAACAGGGCACTAGATGAGACCGTGCAAAAGTAGGTAGTTATCCTTACTATATATATATATATAATATTATAAATCGGAAAGTGAGTTTGTTTGTTTGTTTGTTCCGCTTTCACGCCGTAACTACTAAACCGATTGCTTTGAATTTTTGCAGACGTAAAGTTAGAAGTCTGGATTAAATAAAAGGGTACTTTTTATCCCGAAAAAAAAAATGATATTCCCGAGGGAAAACAAAAGTATTGGTATAGATGGCGATGTATGTAATGGTATATGTCACATTGGCTACTTTTTATCCTTTTGTGACGCGAGCGAAGCCACAGGTAAAAGCTAGTAACTTATAATACAAGTAGATGCAAGCTTGGCGCAATGGTTATCGCATCAGATATACGATGATGGGTCGTAGGGTCGATCCCAGCACTGATATATTTATTTTCTAGGGATGTGCTGTAACAGGCATTGGGCCATGGGGGCTCTGGAGCAGGTCTCTTCGGAGGACCCGGTGCCCCTTACAGATGCTTATAGTGGCCACCGGGGCGGTTTTATTGAGGTACGAATCCCACACTCCCTAGTCTTTCTCCACGAAAACCTCTCCAGTTTTAGAAGGCTTCTCTTCGCCATTACAAATAAAAAAATAGTTATAAGACAAGTACCGTAGCGAGGTCTCCGCGAGTCCGGTGGCGCGGCGCAGCGCGGCGGCGGCGCCCGCCTGCGTGCCGCGCAGGGACCGCGCCTCCGACTCGCTCGCTGACAGCTCCTCCTGCGGGACATGCATACTGTTACCTCAAATATTACAATTACACCAGTATAATGCTGAAATACTCAAAGGGTACTCAATTTTAGGTCACGCTTATCTATAATTCTGTCACGTGAATATACTGAGAAAAGCTCTACTAGTTTCGAACCACAGAGGGGTTGTTCCTCATTAACAGCGTGCACGGTTGCGGCGATATCGCGCAGCCTACCGTTGCTTTGCATTTTTCTCAGTATTTTCACGTGAGTAACCCACGGTTTTAATTTAATAGAATATAATAAATCTCACTATACAACTATATTATAGAAATATAGTTCTGTCTCTACAAATTTTTTGTATAATAACAGAGACGGCACGATATTTCAGTACAACTTAAAATTGAATAGTTTTTCACAGTATTCGTGTGGAGCACTTTGAAAGCTAATTAAAATATAACCAGTTGGTACAAACCTTTAATTTCTTAATTTGATTCTTCAATCTAGCTATAGTGGCTTCCGAGTCTGTCGTCCGACTCTGAAAATACAATAAATTATTTAAATAATTTTCAATGTAGTTGCTTCCAAGTTATATACAAGACACCCAGACATGTGCTGGACAAACACAGAAAAATCTGAACTTACAATAAGTTTTAAATAGCCAATCGAAAGCGCAAAAATAGACATCAATGTTCGATACTTCTGTGAGAAGAGGCTTTGTCCAGAATTTTTTTAAATACGGTAGTTGACAGGTAGTCAAATTCAATAATTTTATTGTAATGTCAAAAACGATAATTTTCTATGAATTTTGTATTGGATCGCAACTTATGACGTAATCATATTTTTGCATCAAATAGCATACTTATTTCCTTAAAATTAGCGAGAAAAAATCCAACAGTAGGTAAATTGGCAAATCAATGGATGAGAGTGTACAGTCTTAAACTGTACACGCTGTATATGGGTAGTGCTGATGCGGCAACTATGTCGCGTCGCGCGTTCGAAATTTAAGTATAAATAGTCATCGATTAAGTAAACTCTGTGTGTGTGCTGATAAACCAACGATAGAGAAAGGAATCGCCAACCTTCAACTTGTATAACTTAACTAATAAACGTATCATAAGTGATTCTTTCTCTTTGCACTCATCAACTCAACTGACTTAACTTCAAGAAGCAAACATCTTTACCAGCGAACCTAAGCAAGGTGTACCTAACCGTACAAGAGTATGATTATTTTTTAATTATTTATTCCATTGAAAAGTTGAAACAATTTATTTTAAATCTAGGAAACTAGCAAATTGTAGAATACGAAACTTTTTGGAACATTGCAGTCTACCAGTCATTTTTGTCCAGACTAATATCTACCTCTATATAATAATGCATAGTGGAGTATACTAACGGCAGGCTCACTGGCCGGTCCGGCGCGGTCGAGTTCGTGCGCGCGTCGCTGCGCGAGTACGTGCGCGTCGGCGCGGAGCTGCGCGGCGGCCGCGCGCGCCAGCGCCAACTCCTCCTCCACGCGACACCGACGAGACCTCTCCGCGAATAGCTCGCTTCTATAGATATTACATGACAATCTTAATAAAATATTACTAATATTATCTATGTAAAAGTATGTGTGTGTGTTTGTTAATCAAATAAGTCAAAACGACTGAAGGGTTTAAGATGTAAAACAGGGGTATGTTACTTTTTATCCCACGGGAACGCGATATTTTATTCAAATGTGGAACTTTCTAAGCTTTATTACAGTCATATTGGATTAAATGAAATCTTCACAATGTAAGTTGTAATAGTCCTTCTTGTAAAACCTTTCCTTTCATTTGTGAAGGTCAACCTACATCATAGGTTTATAGTATAGTTATAAAGTCGTGCAAAGACTGCCTCGTTGGACGAGTCGTCGGTACCCATTCGGAGATAAAAAGGCGTGATGTTATAAAAGACTAGTGCAAAGAATAGTATTTGAATGAGTACTGATCAAATTAAACCACGCAAACTAATACAAAACCACTTAATTCATTGCAAGCACTATAAGCTCTAATTTCGTTATAAAATCTAGACTTTCGCAATTATGAATCTTAGCACGGAGCCGGGAAGTAAAGGTGTTATGTCATGAATAATATTCACTAATTTAACACACTAACTTTGAATAACTAAATGAACTCCTGAGCCTGGAATAACCAATGATTCACTTCCTAAGGTACGTTTCTTTATTATACAATTCTGATGGATGAATTGGTTTATTTATTTAGTAGCTCCTACGCGCGGACTGCCTCGTTGGCCTAGTGGTCGTAAGTGCGACTGCCGGGCAAGGGGTCTCGGGTTCGATTCCCGGGTCGGGCAAAGTATTACTGGGCAGCGTATTAGAGGGCAACAGATATCTGTACTAGATATCTGTACTGTATCAATAGAGTCTGGACAAGCAGTATTTTTCGACTCAGTAACAACATCTACAGAACGCAAAATTGTTAAAAATTACGGAAAAATTACAAATTGGGACCTAATTAGTCTTTTTTAAATCTTATTCTTATTGTAGTATTCGTTTCTTTAATAGGTTGAAAAGATTAACACTATATTTCATACAAATAAATGGTTAATCACAGCTTTTAGTACACTGATAATAATGTTTAATGCCTCAACATAACATACCTGGTCCGTTCCAACTCGGCCATGATCTGTTGCATCTGTTCATCTTGATGCTCCGGTTCCGGCGACGTCCGTCCCGGATGCACCGGTAGGAAATCCGGGAGGCACATCGACTCCGCTCCTGTAATTACGTGACAATCATTTGTAATTCCCAGTAGCTAGAAGTGCAGGTAGTAGTAGTTGTCTACGTTAGATTCTGCTTGTAAGAAAAAAAAATTCAAATTGTTCAAATACTAAAGCCCTATTTTTTAGTCATACTCAAATATCGTGTCATCTCTATCATTTAACCAAGAATTTATAGTGACAGAAATACTACTGTTCTGTTCTTAAGCGCGATTTAAAATTTAGTAGCGTTTGAGTGTTTCAGCGTACAGGTTTAAATTTTTAAAGTTTGTTTAGCACTTAAAAAATCTGCAAGGCAATCTTTGCTACACTTTTTATTCTTTATTCCCAAGTAGAGTCTTAATTAAAAAGAACAACGAAGCAGTTAGTTTTAAAATAACTCACTGTAATGTAATTTTATAGGGTCATTTAGCATATCTACTCATTTTTACTATTATAATAACCTAGAGAAAAAACTTCAACAAGTATCTATCGAACAAGTCTTTACCACTTCGAGACACCCAAGGCTTAATATAAAAACAAAAAACCGAATACATACATGTCTATTTGATTTTTTGTCATAACACCATAAAACAAAATAAAACGAACATCCAAACAGATTTTAATGACATTGAAGCAACACATGGTCGGGGACAGAGGGGAGTATAATTATATTTAATGACCTGTCAATCCTGCACGGGAACTGACTACCCAGTGCAATTGGTGAGTGCAGTTTGATGCAGTAGCTGGGTGACTGGCTTCTGCCATAATGTGTTATGGATTCTTTTAGAGAGAATATCATTCGGTTGTGGATTTGAAGTTAAGCAATGGTGCTTATGTTACCTACATAATTACATGTAATGACTAGATTCTGTCAGCGGTTTCGAGAGATATTGAAAGGTATTTTTGACGTGAGAACGTCTTATAAATTGGTTTGCCGGGTGACACTTCAAGAAACTGCGTTACGCTCCGCTTACGTTATGCGCTCACAATGAGAGCGAGTGAGAGGCACGCGTCCCTTCCACTCGGGCATGGTTAGCCCGCCTAAGAGCGAGAGAGACAGACATAAAAAGTGAAAGGCACGCGTCCCTTCCACTCGAGCACAGTTAGCCCGCCTAAGAGCGAGAGAGAGAGAGTGAGATTCTTTGTATAAATTAATGTTTTAAATATAATTCTTTGTATAAATAAATGTTTTAAATTGTTACTATTATTTCATCCTTCTTCCTATTATACGAATGAATATTCACATTAAAATTATTTTACCACTCAAAGTCGTTGTCACGTAAAACTTTCGCCCGTATACCGACTTTACAGGCAACCAATTTTTTATGCCTACGTGCTATTCCAGACCATAATCTACCTCTGGTAAAAATTTCATCCCGATCCCTTGAGCCGTTTTGACGTAATTGAGTAACATACATACACACAAACTTCCCCATCTATAATTTTAGTGAGACATAGTTAAGATATGACCATTTACAATGATTGTCTTGTTAAGAAAATTCCAGGTCCAATTTTGGATACCATAACCGAACTATAACCGAAAATTTTGAAAACCCAAGAGTGGGAACTTGCGTAACATGCTCGGCTATAATATGTTTAAAAAATAAAAAAAGAGAATCGTATCTGGAGCGTCGTTATAATGTCAACCAGATGCCCCCAAATATTTTTTATCTACTTTCTAATTCCATTACAACTACACAATTCAATATAAGTACCTTTTTGATTGTATGGAAAGCCACTACATAAAATACCGCAACTCAAATTCTTAGGTCAAGTTAAATATTGGGATTTCTGTTTACGATATTTCATAACTATGCCATTTAACATAACTTGAATGAGTCAAATATGAAGATCGAGAGAGAGGGTCTCTATCTTAAAGTCGATTTTTCAATCATCACTTCATCAGTTATTCTATAACTGTAAAATAAAATTGACATTTGAAAGGTTTTAATATGAAAGAGTAGTCAAATATTCGAAGTTAAACCTCAGTTCAAATTTTCTGACGTTAGAAAAATCGGCCCTTATACTTTTATATACTATTCTATGAATCTAAAGTTTTTTTGTTTGATAGCGCTAATCTATGGAACGACTGGTCAAATTTGAAAAATTCTTTTCGTGTTGGATAGTCCATTTATCGAGGAAAGCTATTGGCAATAAAACATCATGCTACGATCAATAGGTGCCAAGTCGTTAGTCATATATAAAAAGATGTTAGATTGTGTCTATGTATTCAATACTATCGTGTCTGAATAATAAAGAAATAATCACGTCAATAGCAACGTTAATTTATTAGCATGCTACAAGTTCATGAGAAATGAACCAGTGTTTAATAAACATTTATTTAGCGGCCATTATGTGTTAATTATTTACAATATGTTTGTCATTATGTCGATAGTAAAATACCACGTACGTAATCAAATGATGGATTTCTAAGTATCTTACTCAGTAAATACGAAAGTCGATCGAAAGTTTTCACAAAATCTGCTGAATGAATTGAGATGAGATTGACTCAAATTGATCATAGTCTTTACTGCCAGTAACGTTATAATCCTGAAGGCGCGGCATCACGACAAAACAGCTAGAGGGAATGAAATTTGGAACATTTTGGGGTATATTTTAGTCTGGAATAACATATTATCTTCCTTTCTTATACAACAGGAATGCGGGTGAATAATAAAAGTGAAGGTAGCATTGTAGTATGTCTTGCGTCACTACATAGTATAAAACAAAGTCGCTATCCGCCGTCTGTCTGTCCCTATATATGCTTAGATCTTTAAAACTACGCAACGGATTTCGATGCGGTTTTTTTAATAGATAGAGTGATTCTTCAGGAAGGTTTATATGTATAATACATGCATATTGCACCACCACATTATAATATAAACAATAAAAGTATGTTTATTTGCCTCTCTCATATCAGAACTGAAAAAATTATAGTGTTATAATCTTGAAATAGTTATGTGACTGGAGTACACCCATATATCCCCAAGCGGTCACCGGTGACCACTCTCCACTAACTACATTATAAACCTTATTTCCAATGTTTAGAGACTACTTTTGTATGAACAAATTTAGGGGATGAATTTCAACGGATTAATATGTATAAGCCATCCTTTGATTCAGTGAGGAAGTCACTCGTGGAAAGTTCATATATTTGACAATAATATTGCTTTAATTGCAAACTTTGTGCTATCATCATCACACATCAACATCCTATAACTGGCCACTGCCTACCAAAGGCCTCTTCTCACATGGTTTGAGTATTAAACTGTCAAACACCGTGAGGACACCGGTGACCGCAACCTATTGTTCTTTAATTGTGTCTATAATGACGGTACTCAAAGGATTAACCTTTCATCTGTCCAAGACTGTATTGTGTCTAATATCGGTGCATTCAAAAGGTTAATCACTACGCTTGCTCAAGGCGAGTTGGTGATTTTAAAATAGAAATTATACATACAGATTTCCTCACAATGTTTCCCTTCACAGTTTATCATTGGTGTCTAATTAATCTTAGAAAGTACAAGTGACTTTGTACATACTTTGACTCAAGTGCAGTATTGGCTGAACTTGTTTGAATTTTTAATACAAATACAAATTTTAATACAAATTTCAATACAAATGATATTAATTTAGTAATGTGACGTCTTTCACTTGTTTACGACTATTTCTTTTAATTAATTCATTGTATATTGAATATGTTGGTGACAGTAGTAATGAGGTATAAAAATAAATAAGTATTTATTTAGTTCAGTAGTTACATAATACTATATAGGTACATATAAATAGAATATACATGGGTAAAGAGAACTGACAAAGGTTAAAGGAAAACATTGTGAGGAAACCTGGGCCTATAATTTCTAATTATTAGTTTGAAATCGCCGCATTGAGCAAGCGATTGGTGATTAATGCTCAAACCTTCTCCATTCAAGAAGAGGCATTTGGTCAGCATAGGCCACTTATAGGCTGTTGATGATGATGATGATAAACAGAAAGCTTCCAAAATGATGACAAAGAAATTGTTTCCATTTGAATTTGCACACCTTTTATAGATAGTCAGAGGTAACTATATGATACTTCCATGCTCAAGTAGTATGTTCTGATTTCCAGTACAATAAGAGTTAAACTTATTGTCATTACAATTTACATTGTTTCAGTTTCAGTTTACAGTACCTTTAGAACACTATCACAGAATAAACTACCTACTTAATTATAATAAGATTCCACTCACCAGCATTAGGAGGCAGATCCAGCGGGAAATTACTTCTTGGAGAGACATTCCTTCTATCTACAGGGTTCACAGACTCGGTCAATCCAGACTCAGGTGCGGTGGCAGGTCCAGGGGCACAGGCCCTGCTGCTTCAGCACCGGCCGGCAGGTCCAGCGGCATCCCACTGCCTGCCTGGCCAGCCTCATTCGATGTAGACGCCGCTCCCATATACGATTCATAATCATAACCCCTACCACCATAACTACTATTATTCCTTCTACCCAACGAGGAAGACGATCCCGCATTGAAACTAGTATTAAACGTAAAGTCCGGTAAGTTATCCAAATCCACCGATATTGGCCCATTAAAGTTCAAATATGCCTGTTCCACTAATATGTGGTCTTGTACGAAATCAGGCAACGAAGGCATCCCGAGAGGCTCCGAAGCCAAATTAGGTCTGTGATAGAACGGCACGTCATTATTGTCCGTGTAAAAGTTATGCTTAGAATCTGAGTTATCCACTACACTAAAAGGTATTTCTACAGAACTACTTGAGGATGTGTTGTCACTTATACGATGGCTGCTGCCTTCGTTAGTCTTCTCTTTGGCTTGGGCGTCGCTCGAGCGCGGCTTCTCCCGCCTCGAGTCAGCATGTACGTCTATCTTGGTCGGGGAGTGCTGCACGGTGTTCGCATACACTTTCGGACGGGCGCCAGTGTTTTCATACGTTGAGTTACCCGGCAACGAAAGATCCCGCTTCAGAAAATGCCGAAACGAAAACGGGTTCTCATCTTTCCGCGTCGCCCCTGTAGACTCTGGAAGAAAAAGGAACAGTTGATGAGGAATGCCTTATATTTAGGACAAAAAACAACTTCGTAAACTCACTGGTAGAACTTTTCGCCTCCGCATGCGATGCGTCACCATTTTCATTGCTATTGTACTTTGCTTCTTCGATACCTAAGTCAGGTTTTGCTGCATTTTGTTCATTTTCTTGCGATGGTGCTCCTTCATTTGTATTTTGAGGCGACTTTTTATTTGAAACACCATCCTCGTCCTCCGCCATGATAATGAAAAATGACAGTTAGTTAATGCGATCAGAAACAACGATTTATTAATATTTTTCGTTTAGAAATTACTCAGAAAAGTTTAGAAAACTACCAGATTAAAAAATTATGAAAATGTTCGCTCTTTCGAAGTTGTGATTATTTTAAAGAACTATAATTTATTTTATGATATAATGTTTGCATAAAATAATATATCTTATCTTTCTAATTACCTTGCCAGTGCTATTGTAACTATATTACTAAATTCTCTTCTTTTTTTTCGTCTAGTATCCGCAACTGGCACATAAAAATTAAAAGTTTACCGTATTTATTTTTGTTAATAATGCATTTTTAATCTTACCTTGACTATCCTATTTACGACTATTTACTATATACACAGCTCTTTCTTCGGATTCCATTACCAAGTCACGATAATGTCAAAAATAAAACAATTTCGACATCTGTATTCAGAAGAAGTTTTGTGCTCTAAAGTACAAACTTTATCGTTTTTAACGCATTATAAACTATACAATACTTCTTGCTAGTTAAAATTTTTAATACTTAAAATAATTGCATGAATTAATTTTTTGTATGTCTCAATTTATTCCAATTAGTTACGCAAATACTTCTAAACACCATGTTAATATAACTACAGCTTATCAAGTCAATTCGTTCGACGTTCAGCATGAAAGAGGCGATTATGATAAGGAAGATTTCGTAACATATTTCGTAAACATAGGGCCAATAAAACTACGTAGTAATAGAGAATTTTTTATTACATCTAGTATAAGGCTCCTTTTACCATTTTTCCATATTGTACAATATCGAAGTGAATCGCTACGTACTTTACAACAAGTATTAAAAATAATAACAGTGGGATTTATTAATAAAAATAACACAAAATAAATTCGTTAACAATAAATGCATTATTTTTTAGACTATAATATTAAGTTTTTTCATTACAAAAATAGTGAAATAACTCCAAGTTTCTGAGCATAGGTATGGTTATTTAAGCATCACCTTTATAAACATTTTAGTAAAGTATAAAATGTATTTAAAGAAGTCGACAACATTATGGTTACATCGAAATCGTTACATTTTACATTTAACTTTTTATGACAGTTGATTTCAATGTTACCACACTCGAAATTATTTACATACATTTAACAAGACAATAATTTTTAGCTAATAGATAATGGAAATATGAAGGGACTACTTGAAACAGTAAATGATTCACAATTTTAATCAGAGAAAATTACTTAATGGAAACCTTGAAATATTTTGGCTAACACGCAAGTAACTACAAAGAGAAATTACAACAACTAGCCAGAATTAATTTTAAAAATAATTTGGCACAGGTTATATTAACAAACCATGTTAAATCATAGTAATTTATACAAAACATGAGATATTTTTTACAAATTAGATTTTTTATAAAGGTAAATCTAGATTTTGTTTAATATTTTAGCCGACTTTTAGTGGTTGTACAAACATTACCATGAGCAATATAAGGCAATGGCTTGGGGCCTTGAAAGTGTGAGGTGACCGGCACATCAACCTACTCTATTTTAACTGTATGGTCTTGTACCCCTACTCTTCATACCGGTTTTGTAACCCGACTGGAAAGGAGCCAATATGAGAAGATTATGTTATGGTAAACCGGCAAACCCTCTTATGTAGAAGAGGCAATAATGACCTGCCAAGCAGTTACATTTCTCAGAAAGTATAAATTAGAGTAGGATGATATGCTGGTAAATACACATTATTACATAAAAAATTAAGCAAAACTGTAATAAAGATAGATTCGGTAAAACCTATTGCACAGATTGATTGCACACAATTCTAATGTTTTGTAATTAGGTAATTATTTTATGCACACGAATTACAATTAATTTTCCAAATCCATTCAGAGAAACGACCACAGATATAGAAAATGATCAAGTGACACATTTAATTATTCCACACAAATGAATAAAAAGATTGCGCTGGCTACATTTGTATGAAATTTTACACTTCATACTTCAATGTAATGTTCAATCATTTCACTGTATCCGTGGCTCAGATATTACAATTTAGATAATTTCTTTAATTAAAATAAATAAATAAATGGCACTGTTCGATGTTAGAATTGTTAAAATAAAATTGTATCTCTTAGTTTATAAAATAATCATATTTTTTGTTAGATTTTCACACATTTCATGCTTAAATAAAATAAAATATGACTGATACACAGATTATTATACTTTATAAATTAAAATTATATATTTATATTAATTCTTCTTCAATAAAATATTAGTATTACATCGCCAAAAATAATAAGAAGTCATGTAATTCATAATTTAAGAACATATTTTAAGATTTTAAGGTAAGAAGCCTAAAAATTTATTCAATGCATAGGAAATTAATTCAAACAAAAATCAGTCTTTAGGTTTTATAGGAAGAATAAATTTTTAATGGTCTCTTGTAATAATTAAATAAATAGGTATAATAGTAAAATATGATTTTGAAAAGAAATGCTAAAAATATTCAAAATTTTATCATGATAAGAAACTAATTGATTTAGTAACAAAGAAATAGTGAACACAAAATATCACAAAACGTTATGTAACAATTAAAAAAAAGCAGAAGAAAAATGAATAAATATTATTTCTAATCAACACCAAAATCGAGATCAGTAAGAATCTCATTAAAATATTGCACGTAATGATAAGTTATTATTGTTTAATCAAAAAAGCAACACAAATCAGAAAATATGATTAATAGGTTAAACTACCGATGGCGGTTATAGAATATTTAACGAAACATAATCGTTCTTTATTTAAAGTCATAATCACATTGCCGATGTACCATATTATGTTCATAACAATTATTAGGTACAACTAATACTTTCGCTGTTCGCGACGATACTTAGTCTCGATTTCATAAGAATAAATGCCAAATACTTTTAGTAATACAAAAAAATTGTATTGGCATCAAAAGAATGCGTACAGTCGCAGGCAAAAGAGTTTTGATTTATAATATCTAATTAACATGTACTGAGAAATAAATGGCGATAAAATATACAAATATTTCATTTATAACTGAAGCTATTCACAAATGTATAATAACAAAAATAGAAATGGCTATTAATTTTATTAGTGTACATTTAAACGAATATTTTTAAGTGGAATAATGCAAATTGTTATGTTAGAATACACCAGAGGGAGCACGCAAGTCACGCTATTAGATCCACGAAACAGATGGGCAAAATAACGCGATACGTACGTGTGTAAATGCATTTTTCCTTGTTAAATTAAAAGTTATTTGTGACACTACGAATTATTTTCTAAAATTGTGTTATTTTTTACAACAGCTGTTAGAAAACTAGAATAGATTTGTGTTTTTAAAGGTTGTCTTATTGATAACACCTTAACAAGTGTTTTTCTAGCTAAAAGACATAGTTAATGAAACATAATTTATTATTATTATTGTGCCCAGGATCATCACGAAAAGAATCATCTAAAAAAAATATACCTTAAAATGTAAAATATCGAAACTCCTTTACCTGCGATAAAATTTGGCAACAACATTAATACTAAACACTACGAATATAAATTCCGAAAAGTATTTCATTTGCTGAAAAAACCGTTGAAAAATAAATTGTCTGGTACCCAACTGGAAAATCTACCGACTATGTACATTTCATACAATATTTTGGTTTTCCTTAAACTATTGTATATCAGATGAGAAAAAGGGAGATACCAAATTCCTATCACACATCGTTTAAACTTGAATAAACTCCACTCGAGGAATGTTATTGACATAATGTCAATAATGTACTAAAAATGGCCGTTTATGACGTCCCGGGGTTTTCATGAAATGAGTTATCTCCATTTATCTGTTTAGCTAGCGTTTTACGTTTAAGTGGACTCTATATATACACCATAGAGTACATAATTACATGTGCAACTCACTTAAGCTATTTGGTTCCGTAATAAAACAGACCTTGTCCCGACCTCCGACGTGTTTGAATTATCAGTTGATAATATAATAATAATAAAATTACTCGTGCAAAATGGTTCTATAATAAATAATTGTCAATTATACTCTTTACTTTTTAGGTTTGCTTATTAATTTGTGGTTTGCTATTTGAGCATGTATTTGTTTGCACGCGTATTTTTTTAACAATTACCCTTAATACGTTTGACAGTGATTGTACCCGTGAGCAGGAATATTTTTTCAATATTTAAAAAAAATCGTTTTGCGGTAAGAATGAAATAAATTAAAATATTTTAGCTGCCATCAGAAGACGTTAATCATCTAGATTTTACTCTTAACAATTATTTATTACTATAACCTAACAAGACTCGCGTGGTTTTCAGATGTTTCCAGACAAATCTGGATAATGATCAATACCCAATATTGGACGACAAATCCTAATCTCTGGTATTTGCCAAAAGTCTCATGTGACATGAACGGCAGTTGCGTAAAACTAGCAAATTATAATTTATTTCGCGGTATTTCCTACAATAAAACATTTGTGACGAACGTTTGCGAAAATATCCGAGTACAATCGTAAACTTCATGGAAACAATCGTGTATTAATTTCGCACGCAAATCTTTTTAACGCGACTTACAATTCTTGCGTCGCCGTCGTTGGCAATGAACCTTGTCTTGAGGCACGGGTTGTCCTGTCAAACGTCAAACTAAGTATTCCATACACGTCAGTCAGTTACTGAGCGAGATTCATTAGTACACATCACATATACATAATCTACTACTCACCTATGTCGATAAACAATATAATACAAGGAAAGTCTCACAAATATCAACGATAACCTTCCGAGTTCCTCACATGTCAGTTTAATCTAATCCTCTTGGAGGTAACATGGCGATTATAATATAATATCACAGGGTTGTAACGAACCCTTTATTTCATACGTAAGTTTCTTCTTCGCGGGCTTCGAACGTGTGTCGAAAGCAGGCGTAGGGCCAGCCCTAGCTCGACGGTTCCTCGGAGACGCTGTCCACGTCTGTGGAAGCCCTGGGTGTTGGCTAGCTGATTGAGGAGCTGGTGGAGGTGGATATCGTCTCCCGACCTAGTTCCGCTGCCATAATGGCTATCGTAAGCTCTTTGCGCGCCTTCTGCACCACCCACAGCATCAATGTTATGCCAATCAGGATCTGAAAACACAAAAACCAAGATATAAAGCAAACGCCAACTTAACATTTAAAGACTATAATAGGAGACTGACATTTCCAGCCTTACAGGCCTCGTATTCAATGTGGATTTCTCGAAGACATTAGAATTTCGAACAAAGGGAAGAATTGAAATATGCATTCACGGTTTTCCAATAATTTATTCGTATCGCTCGAGCATTGTTTGTCAATTGTATTGAATCAGATATTGTATTGTTGAGTTTGAGAATAAATAACAAATTATCACGACATACAGGCACGAAACAATAAGTAAATAGTTTGAAACCGAAGCCAAGGAAATAAATCGAATGCTTTATAAGGATACCTTGGATCCTTCATGCTCACTTTGGATCATCGGTTTTTACCAGAACCTTTAAAAAAAATATTACTATACTTTTTCCGTGTGATGGTGATGACGACGGAGCAAAATACCGCCCCTATCCATCCATCGATCTCCAATCAGCCTGTCGAGGGTGGAGATTATGGCAAACCCTTTTACGTTATGTATTGTTTTACGTTTAAAGTAATCAAAACTAGACCTCGATCGGCGCTCTGATTGGCCGGTTCCAATAAACCAACCAATCAGAGCGCCTTCTCCGTTCAGCAATAGATGTCACCATGCTGATGATGATGATGAATATTTTTACCGACCTTGTTAGAATTGAATTGACATGAATTATAGAAGTATAAACATATTTTTAAAGCTTGCCATGTGTGGCCTTAATACATATTAAAGACAAGGCAAGGTTTTTCATGAAGGGCGACTTAAGTCAACGGATTGTAAAACGAAATTATGTAAGGACTGCACGCAACACTTAGATCGTGGAGTATGATTACACTAGTGACCAAGTTTTAGGTTTAGGCACTCATTTTAGGAGTTTTTTTTACTAAAGGATGGCCACAGTTACTTTGTGGTGACGGCAAGTCTCCTACTCTTCCCGCGGGTGCGACTAAGGCCGACTAACGCCACGGACTCACGACGCGATTTCCACCCGCGGTGATTTATTTTCAAAACTCACGAGATCGCAGTTTTTTAGCGGTTGCGATTAGCCTGCAAAATTGGCGGTTGATTATCGGAAGATGGGTGGTTAAACAATCAATTGAGTTCCAGACCGGCCATCCCATTGCGACTACCGTTCGCAGAGCGCGCGGGTGCAACCCGCCGCAGTGGCCGCGGAACGGCGCCCGCGCCCACCGGTGCCGGTTCAGAGGGCTTAGTACGAATTTCTTTTTCGTTTAAAGTAATCGAAACGAGACGGCGTTCTGTGCTCTGAGGCCTTAGTACGAGTTTGTTTTACGCTTAAAGTAAACGTAACGAGTACGCGTTCGGCGCTGTGATTGGTTGCCTCATTGGTGCCGGCCAATCAGATTGCGAACGCGTACTCGGTTCGAATCCTTTAAACGTAAATCAAACTTGTACTAAGGCCTCTGATTGGTTTGTTCATTGGAGCCGGCCAATCACAGCGCCGAACGCGTACTCGTTACGATTACTTTAAACGTAAAAGAAACTAGTACTAAGGCCTCAGGTTTATTAGAGAGCGCTGCTGTCCGGGCTCTGTCAAATGTGTAGTCCCTGAGTCGGTCCCTACGACACCAGAAGGAAAACTTAGAATAAGAAATTCCCCAGAATGGACATAAATAATAATTAAGAATCATGTAACATATTGTGCCTACGTACAATGACGCTTTTGGTTTTTTACGAGGAAAATGTTTTATATCTACGAGCAATATTTATTTATCCTTAATGCAAAAACATAGTACGAACTCTTATTGTTCCTTAAAATATAGCAGTTTTGCCTAATATAGGTAATAACATAACAATATGTTTTAATTGAATAATATCGTGAAAAAATCTATTTTAGGCATACTCATCAGCGACATGTCTTTCCAAACTAATGAGAATAAGTCCATGAGTAAATAAGGTAAACATTAAATATTAAAAACATGAAATATACAAAAACAATAACTTAAAAAGTTACTTAGGTATAGTTCCTTCAAACGATTATGGAGTTTATCACAATAACATAAGTTCTGTAATTGGGGAGTATAGTTTAATGTTGTCTGAGACTATTGAGTCTAAATAATATTTGTACTATATTATTTGGAAATATCACGTAATTCGACTAACTATCGATCGACTTACGACCCGAGACGTCGACATTTCCGATAAAATCATACATCGACACCGGTCTAGCACTCATACAATCATCTCTTACAATATTCATGACTATGAATTATTTTTATTAACATATAAACCGACGTGAAACAAGGCTTGCGTATGCTTGCGTTGTTTCGTCGTGTGAGTGGGGTTATCGGAAGGCCAATTACCCCTCCTCCCCCTTTCCCAATCTCTGAATCCCCAACAATCCTCCAACTCCTAATCTCCAAAGGCCCGGTAACGTACTTAAAACGCCTATGGTGTCCATGGGCGACGCCGATTGCTTACCATCAGGGGCATCAGGTGATCTGCCTGCCTGTTTACCGGCTTATCCCATAAAAAAAACACCAAGGTAGCTCAAGGCTGGTTGGCATGTCTTTAATTTGAAGGACACTAACCAGTTATAATTGATTTTTTTACAGAGATCACCAGTCCCATTACGAACAGTTTTTTTTAAGGGGGGAAAATCATCGTATGACTGCTCCCGCCTGGGTGAGGCGTGAGGGAGTGTCAGACTCTTACTGACTAAAAACCACCCCGTTCCTTCTCCTGCACGTCGAGCCGGAGCTCCGGTAACCCGTTAGGTTCTCCGCGACATTATGAGCAGTTTGGTTGCCTCTGGAACCCGCTCTAGCATACTCTGTGTCGCAGGTTCCAGTCTCTTTCAACAGGTGTAGCAAAATACCAGTCAACCTTTTCTTATTGAATCTGTGTGTGTGTCACGTGTATGTCTGTAAAATGAAATTATATTTATTTCTGCAAATAGGTTACAAAGTAACACATTTACACGTAATTCTTTAAATTACTAGATGAGGACCTGACTGTGTGTGTGTTTGTGTAATTTCATGGTTACAACTGGACATTAGTAAAAAAAAATACAAATGTTCCGATCCTAAGGTAAACTAGCTTGTAAAAAAATGTTTTCTGCAAAATTACCGAACCGGCTATGTACTAATGTAAATAAACCGGTGTGAAGATATGTTAACATGTCGAATGGCGTGTAAATACGACCGTGAAAGAAAATTAGCATCAGCATGCTACTGTCTGGGTTGATAACAATACTAAAAGAAAAAAAAATATTGGTCAGTTTTGTTACCGCTAAATTGTATGATCGCATTTTTGCGCCGTCTCGTTTTGTTTACTTTAAAAGTAAAACAAACTTGGACTAAGCCCTCGGGATTTAATCGAAAATGATATACTCACCGAATCCTATATCCTTACTAATATTATAAATAGGAAAGTGAGTTTGTTTGTTTGTTAATACTATAAGTGCGAAAGCTTGTGAGGATGTATGTGTGTGTCTGTATTTGTTACTCTTTCACGTCAAATGGCTGAAGGGATCGAGATGAAATTTGGAACAAGGGTAGATTATGGTCTGGAATAACACATAGGCTACTTTTTATCCCACGGGAACGGGCGGGCGAATCGGCTGGCGAGATTTTATTTAAGGGGGAAAATCATCGAATTCGCCAGCAAATCATCGCCTGGGTGAGGCGGGAGGGAGTGTCAGACTCTTACTGACTAAAAACCACCCCGTTCCTTCTCCTGCACGTCGTGCCGGAGCCCCGGTAACCCGTTAGGTTTTCCGCGATGGCTGGCGAAGGCTAGTAGTACATATTGTACATGTCATGAGCATTTCAATCACTTGACGTGCTGTTTTTTATAATAACTATCGTAAGACATACTAAATTAACTAAAAATCGCGGGTTACTCACGTGATTATACTGAGAAAACCTCGCGATGTCGCAGCAGCATCGCCGCGACCGCGCACGCTGCTCTTGTGGAAGAACCCCTGTGTGGTTCGAAACTAGTACAACTTTTCTCAGTATATTGACGTGAGTAAACCGCGATGTTTAGTTAACTTGACGTGCTGATTGGTCGTATATCACGGGGATTAATTGCACCTAATATATTTAGTTTAATGGGTTGACTCACTATTACTTTTTTTAATACCTAACACTTAATAGTCGATAGAATGCGGACCGGATTATTTGATATTACTTTTCGACGTGACGAACCGGATAAAGGAATGATAAACATGCGGACAACGGAAGATTAAGGATTAAAGGTTCCTTTTTCCCTTTGAGATACGGAACTCTAACAAGTGTCAATGAAATAAATGTCTTAATGTGTCACTACTAAGTATAAAAATCGCATACGCTACATTACTAGATCATGGACTAATTTAAAATGTAGTTCCTTAATGTATGTCTAGATAAAATTGTTTGTTTATACATGTTTGTTGACAATCTATACATATAATAAAATCGTAGAAAAGTCAAAACTGTACATTGAATATTTTTTTTAAAAGAATACTTGTGGCGTGATCTAGAATCGATACTGAAGCCAAAAATATGTTTTTTAGAATTTTCGTCTGTTTGTCTGTACGTATGTCCGGGATGATCTCAAAAAGTACTGCATGGATTTACTTCAAATTTTGTATGAATATTACTAACAAGTCGGGTCAACATATAGACTACACATTATCACGCTATCATCTACAGGTGAGAGTGAGGAGCCCTATACTAGGTACTGAATCAATTCTAACAACATTCGTTACCGTAAAATATCCCTTGATAAAGACTAATTCAAAAGCCTAAATTCTTCCAAAGTCATTATTCTACGCGGACGAAGTCGCGGGCAACAGCTAGTAGACATATTAAAACTGTTTGTTTTGTTGTACACGCTAATCTATGAAAAGGCAAAGAAGATTACAAACTCTATTTTTTTAAGTCTTAGGGACTAGGAACACACCAGGAAGAATTAAAAAGGGCATTCAATTTTACACTCCTATGAATCACGTAAATTATTTTTGGTGGTTGCTATA